TCCCAGCAGCATTATTCGGGAGCAAGAACAGAAGCAGAGCAGCTGGGACTTGAACAGCACTCCCGTATTGGAAGCTGGCATCATAAGCAGCAGCTTAACCCACTATGCCACAACACCAGTCAGTCCCCACAAACAGTCTTACCATCTGCCATTCATTTGTCTTCTCTGATTTTTTTTTCCCGGAATATTTTAAACAAAAATCCCATTCATGTTACGCATGCATACTTTAATGTGTATCTCCATTAGGCCTTTTCTTATCTTCTAAAAACATAATACCATTGTCATGCCCAATAAAATTAATATTCCTTTGTATTATCTAATACCTGTTCCATGTTCAATTATCTGTCTCAAAACTGCCTCTCTTGGTAAAATCAGGATATGAACAAGATTGTCACATTGCATTCAGTTCATGACAGTGTTCCCCCTGACCTACCCTTTGTTTTTTTTAAAGATTTAATTACTTATTTGAAAGGTAGAGTTACAGAGAAGCAGAGGCAGAGAGACAGAGAGGTCTTCTATCCGCTGGTTTACTCCCCAGTTGGCAGCTATGGCTGGAGCTGTGCCAATCCGAAGCCAAAAGCCAGGAGCTTCTCCCAAGTCTCACGTGGGTGCAGGGACCCAAGGACTTGGGCCATCTTTTACTGCTTTCCCAGGCCACAACAGAGCTGAATCAGAAGTGGAGCAGCCAGGACCCGAACCGGTACCCATATGAGATGCTGGCATTGCAGGCGGTGGCTTTACCCACCATGCCCCACCTACCATTTGAAGAATCTTATTGTCCTGTAGAATTTCCCATTTCATGATTCCACTGACATCTTCATGGTGATGCTTAATTTGTTCCTTAAACTACCAGTTAACATCTGGAGATTTAATTGGATGGTTACCTTTTTGTTTGCTTTATAAGAACACTTCATAGATCCTTGCTTACATCATTCTCCGGAGACATATACTATTGCCCCACTTTTGGAGATGTTTTTCCTTTTTAAGTCCAAAACTCACCCCCTCCTCTGCCTTTTACTCCATTAGTTAGAACCTCTATTACAATATTGATGGTAGGGGTGAGCATAGCGATCTTTTGTGTTTAACTTTAATGTGAATGTTTTAAAAGTTTTACCATTCAGATTTTTTTCTGTGTATATATATTCTGATTAAGGAAGCTTCCTTCCACTCTAGTAACTTAAAAAAAAATATTAAGTGTTGAATGTTTTTGAATCCTTCTTCTTCAATCTATTCACTTTCTTAAAAAAATTTATTTAAAAAAAATTTTTTTTAATTTGAAAGGCAGTTACACAGAGGGAGGCTGGTTCACTTCCCAAATGGCTGGAAAGGCCAGGACTGGGCCAGGCTAAAGCCCAGAGCTAGGAGCTTCATCACAATCTCCCACATGGTTACAGGGGCCTGGAGGACTTAGGCCATCTGCTGCTGCTTTCCCAAGTGCATTAGCAGGGAGCTGGATCAAAGTGGAGCAGCTGGATCTTAAAATGGCACCCATATGAGATACTCCTGCTGGGCAGGGCCAGCCCCTCCTTACTCACTTTCAATTCCACTGGAATTGGATTAAAGTTTGAAAGAGAACTTTCTAGAGAAAACACCACTCTTCAATCTTCTCAGGAGTAACCTTTGCCCAGGACCTAACTTTACTCTGTCTTCTGGCTCTCTTCCCACGGGGTAAGAGTGAATGATGCCAGTGTGATGTGCACAGCTAGAACACATACCCCATTCTAGACATACTTCCATCACTCAAACTGCCCAAACAGTTGCATGGAAAAACGGAATTCTAATAGCTTATTTTGGTGCAAAAAAAAAAAAAAAATAGAATCCATACAGTTTTCTCATATGCATTTCCATGGACTTTTTACAGTACCCATGGGTTTCAAAACTTTCCATATACAAATATACACACCCACACCCACACACATATTCCAGGCTCCTCAACAGGTAGAACATATCAAGAAGTGGACAGAGTAAGGAAGCAGCCTGTGGGTTCAGGGCCAACTCTCCTTGCATTGCCATATTCTGTCATGCAATTGCATAAAATCAGAAAATTTTAAATTGAAATTTGGCCACATTCCAGGTTGTTGTGAAGGTATACTTGTCAAGATAAAAAAAAGCAAAGCAATTTTCTAAACAAGTAGCTTTTTTAAAAAGTATTTTATTTATTTATTTTTGAAGTAGAGTTACAGAGAAAGGGAGAGACAAGAGAGAAAGATCTTCCATCCACTGGTTCACTCTCCAAATGGCTGCAACAGCTAGAAGCGGGCCAATCCAGAGCCAGGAGCATCTTCCAGGTCTCCCACGCAGGTGCAGAGCCCCAAGCACTTGGGCCACCCTCCACTGCTTTCCCAAGCCATTAGCAAAGAGCTGGATTGGAAGTGGAACAGCAGGAATATGAACCAGCACCCGTATGGGATGTCGGTGCCCCAGGCAGAGGCTTAGCCTACTACGCCACAGTGCTGGCCCCAGCTTCTTACTTTTAAATATTAAAAGCAGAGTATTGTGGGCCTCAATTTGTTTTTCAGCCAGAACCCTGTAGATGCTGGTAGCGAGCCTGACTAATGAGCTCATGATGTAGTTAAAACTGCATTTTCATTAGTTCTATTAGATTTTACAGTCTGATCATTTTCAGTATGACATCTTTAAGGCCATATATCACTGAACAAACAGTGAACCCAGACATCAGACTATAGAGGTTAAAATTAGCTAAGATGTTTGGAGTCAGTCCAGTCTCGATTCTTATTTAGGTTCAACTGTTCACTCGCCTCAATTTCACGTGCAAATGAAAATAGAGTCTATCTCATTGGACTGGTATGAGGTTTAAGTTAGATAACAGACATTAAGTGTTTGGCATGGTGACTGACACAAGGCATGTGCTCAATAAATTCCAACTATTTTAAGGGAAAATGGTGACTACTACTAGCTAGGCCCCATCCAAGTTCTTTGCCTGCACTATATCATAAAAATACCATAACCCAGATGTAGATGTTATCTCCTTTTTATAGAAGAAGGAATCAAAGCTAGTGCAAATGATCTTTAAAACAACCCTGTCATGAGGGTAGAGCATTATTAATCCCATGTGTGGAGGAGAAAAGTGGCCCACTATTTCCAAACCCAAGCTCACTTTCTGGAACACGGTAATCAGCAGAGGCACAGTGATTCCCGCAGACTGACTTCTACCATACTCACCGCCACACTGCCTCTGAAATAAGGCTAATATTGGCATTTTCAACAAATGTATGATATCAACTGCCCTAAATTGCTGCTCCTAAATGAAATATTGAAAATAAAGGGCTTTGGGGCCAGCACTGTGGCACAGCAGGTTAAGCCGCTATCTACAGTGCTGGCATCCCACGTGGGCGCCATTTCGAGTCCCAGCTGCTCTCCTTCCAATCTAGCTCCCTGCTAATGTGCCTGGGAAAGCAGTGCTTGAGCCCCTGAACCTACGTGGGAGACCGAGAAGTTGTTCCTGGTTTCTGGCTCCTGGCTTTGGCCTGTCCCAGCCCTAGCTGTTGCAGCCATTTGGAGAATGAACCAACAGACCTTTCTCCCTGTCTCTACCTCTTTCTGTTATTCTGCCTTTAAATAAATAAAATAAATCTTTTCTAAAAAGGGCTTTTTCTTTTTAAACACAGACCTAGTAATTTTTTTGTCTACCCCTCAAAAGTAAACCATTAAAAGACTTCAAATCTCCCCCTTTTAAAAGCACTCAGTGGGCCTTTTGCTAATGACCCATCGAGCTGTCCAGAAGGAGCAGAGCCAAAAACACCACTTTTGGGTGAAGTGGCAGCTTGTTGTGTTGTTTTGCTTCAATCGGTGGAACAAGATGTTCCACTGTCAAGGACAAACCACGGGGGCAGAGAGCAGAGCTGGAGAGACTTTGAAAGTGTCTGGGAAATGTTACACTGGTGGAGCTGCCTACCTTGTTAAAAAATGAAGTTTTGCTTGTATCTTAACATAGAAAAAAAAAAAAGACTTCAAATCTGCAATTTCTGATCAGCGAATGTTTCATAAAACTGCATAATTTAGGGCCAGTACCGTGGCTCACTTGGTTAATCCTCTGCCTGCAGCACCGGCATCCCATATGGGTGCCGGGTTCTAGTCCTGGTTGCTCCTCTTCCATTCTAGCTCTCTGCTGTGGCCCAGAAAGGCAGTGGAGGATGACCCAAGTGCTTGGGCGCCTGCGCCTGCACCCGCGTAGGAGACCAGGAGGAAGCACCTGGCTCCTGGCTTTGGCTAGGCGCAGCAGGGACCGTAGTGGCCATTTGGGAGGGAACCAACGGAAGGAAGACCTTTCTCTCTGACTCTCTCTCTCGCTGTGTAACTCTGTCAAATATGTAAAAAAAAAAAAAAAAGTTGTAAGTAGTTTTCTCTCTCTCACAGTCTAACTTTACCTGTCAAATAAGTAAAAAAAAAAAAAAAAAAAGTTGTAAGTTAAGTAGTTTTCTCTGTCTCTCTCTCACACTAACTCTACCTGTCAAATAAGTTAAAAAAAAAAACTGCATAATTTAAATAGAGAAGTTAGGTTCCCAAAATTGATCTGCACTGATAAATACCACTTATCTTTCAAAAAAGGTATTTTATCTGTCTCTCCCAGCCAGAACATCAGTTTGTTTATTTTATCACCTAGAACTGTGCACATAATACATCCTCAGGAAACATTTGCTGACAACTGTACATTCAAATCTATTTCTCTTGGTACTATATGCTACAATATATGATGGATAGACATTAACTTGAGCCACATGAAACTGCTGTTCCACTACTTTTTTCCTACAAAAGGGACAGCAGTTTGATATGGTATAACCTGTTTAGTAAAAAGCTTTCCAGAGGATAGTATAAACCAAAAAACTAGACAAAGTGTGTAAAAGCTAAAACAGAAATGGAGGGAATTCTTTTGTCACAAGAAAAATTACTCCATGAAAGTTGATAAAGGCTTCAGGTCTTATGTTAAAATTTTTCTCAAGGATCATCCATAACATTACAACACATGTCAAAAATTAAGCTAGATTTTTTAAAAAAGATTTATTTATTTGAAAGAGTAACAGAGAAGGAGAGGGAGAAACAGAGGCAGAAAGAGGGGTCTTACATTCACTGATTCACTCCCCAAATGGCCACAACGGCCAGGTCTGGGCCAGGCCAAAGCCAGGTGCCAAGAGCTTCATCTGGGTCTCCCATGTGGTTGCAAGAGCCCAAGAACCTGGGCCATCTTCTGCTGCTTTCCCAGGCGCATTATTAGGGAGTTGGATCAGAAGTAGAGCAGCCAGGATGCCAGCCCTGCAGGTGGCAGCTTTACCCACCATGCAACAGGGCCAGCCACTATTCTAGATACTAAGAAGTTCATTATTTACACCTTATTTTACATTTAAAAATTATTCCCATTTTAGTATTTATGATACAGACACATATTCCTCTTTATTAGCTAATTCTGATTTCATGTATATGTTCAAAATACCAATTTAGGTCCAATTTGCCCTATTAATAGTGAGTACAATTCTAGTTTCCAGAAATCAGGTTACAAAGTTGATCTAGATTTATTACTTTTTCCAATACTCAAATGTATTAGACTAAAAGAGTAACTGACATGTAATTCCATATTAATCTCAATTATTAAGACACACCTAACATTAAAGTATTTCTTTATGTAGATTGCTTTAAGAGGTATCTCAAACACACTTTTCTAAAAATGTAGATAAAATATTTATTGGAGTGGGCGCGGTGGCACAGTAGGTTAAGCTACCCATCCTGTATCAATGCCTGGATGAGTCCTGGCTGTGCTTCTACTTCCAGCTTCCTGCTCATGCACAGCACGTGCTGGTTCAAGTCCTTGGGTCCCTGCTACCCATGCTGGAGACCCAGATGGAGTTTCAGGCACCATGCTTCATCCTGGCCAAGCCTCAGCTGCTATAGGCATTTGAAGCATGAACCAACAGATGGAAGATCTCTATCTTTCACTGTTTCACTCTGCCTTTCAAATAAATAAACTTAAGAAAAAAAAAAAAAAACCTGCAGATAATTGGAATTTCTGAACAGGAAAAACATATTCTGTTTTACTAATAGCCTTTTTTTTACATTTATAAGAAAAATCTAGACATAAATAGGCTTGCTAATTTTCCTTAAAAGAGAGAAAGCAAAATTTCAAAATACGAGGGTACTTCAAAAAACTCATGGAAAACTGGAATTAAGTTTCAGGGCAGCATTTGGCATAGTGGTTAAGATGCCACAGGAGACCTCCCCCATCCCGTATCAGAGCGCCTCAGTTAGAGTTCTAGCTCCACTTCCTATTCCATCTTCCTGCAAATGCAGGCTAAAGCAGCAGGTGACGATTCTGCCACTAATATGGGAGACATGGATTGAGTTTCTGGCTCTTGGATTCGGCTTGGCCCAGTTCCAGATACTGCAAGCGTCTGGAGAATAAACCAACAGACGGGAGATCTTTGTCTCTGTCTGCCTTTCAAATTAAATAAATAAATCATGACTTTTAAAAACATGAAACAAATGAAGTGTTAGTATCATAAAAGATTTTACTATCATATAAAATTTATATGACTAAAAAACTTTGATTGCTATGTATTCTACTTACATCACGTAATAACCTAATAACAGGGCAGTTTCCAGGTTACTTCATGGGATTTTTCCCTTTCACACTGCAATTGAAATGTTGATGGCCTACAAACAAACAACCTGCAGTAACTGAAAGCCAGGGCAGCATGTATCTTCAGCAAGGTTCCTTCCAAGATAGCAGATGTCACAAGTTCATATTTTTCTTGTTTGTGATCCCAAAACTGGCAGCATTTTCTTTTCATCCACTCTGTTCTTATGTATTTGGAAAGCAGGTGTTATCCATCTTCCACATGAGCACTGTTCACCATACCAATTGAAGGAACCCAATTTGGCACTGCATTTTGGACAAAGCAGCTGAAATAAAAAGCCAATGTATTACTTCATTTATTCACTTTTATACAAAACAAATAATTTTCTTTGGCAATATAGGATATAAGCACAGGCAAACATGGCCCCTATCTTCAAGGAATTTGTACTCTAATTGGTGACATTAAATACATGAGGAATTTGCTGTATTAAGGATGGTGGACCACAATTACTGCCTAAGAAGTATGTTGTATTCGGGCAGCTTAGAGGAAGAACAGATGGATCCCAGCTTTAGGGGAGAAAGGTGACATTTGAAACTCAAGGATGGCTTCAAGAATGTGGCATACATACTAGGTTTTTAAATCAACATGCAGGGGCAGGCACCTGACACAGTGGTTAAGATATCACTTAGAACAGCCACATCTCATCAGAGTGCCTGGTTTGAGTGCCAGCTCTGCTTCCAATTCCAGCTTCCTATTATGGGTACCCTAGAAGGCAGGTGATGGCTCAAGTAATTGGGTCCCTGCCACTCATGTGGGAGATCCAAATTGGATTCTGGGGTCTTGGCCCAGCCCTAGCTGTTGCAGGTATTTGGGGAGTAGACAAATGGATGAAAGATCTGTCTCTTTTGGTTCTAGTTCCAGCTGCTCCTCTTCCAATCCAGCTTTCTGCTATGGTCTGGGAAAGCAGAAGATGGCCCAAGTACTCAGGCCCCTGCACCTGCATGGGAGATCCGGAAGAAGCTCCTGGCTTTTGATCAGCCCAGCTCCAACTGCTATGGCCATTTGGGGAATGAACCAGCAGATGGAAGACCTTTCTCTCTATCTCTCTCTCTCCATCAGTAACTCTACATCTCAAATAAATAAATAAAATCTCAAAAAAAAAAAAAAAAACTACAACATGAATAAAGAATGAAAAAGATTATTAGGATTCTCATGTTTTATTACTGATAACGATAGCATGTAAGTCAGATTCCTAGTGACTTAAAAACAATCAACTGATATTCCAGTAAAACAGATAAATCAAAGCTTTAGTAAACTGTATTTGCTTTCAGTGCAGTTATCACATTTTTTAGGTTTAGTTCTATAATTTGTACATGGTAGGAAGTAGGAATTTTTGCTTTTAATATTAAACTATAGGAAGTCCAGATTTAAAGCCCATTAACCACAAATGAAAAAATAGACTATACAGTATCTTAAATTTTATTACAAAATATACCAAAAATTTGAGATAAGTAATAGACTAAGGAAAATAATTCTATTTATTAAATGAAGCATCTACATCTAGAATATATACACAGCTCCTACAAATCAGTAAGAGTAAGATAAAATTCACAGAAAATAGGCCAGGGATGGTAAAGCAGTTTACACAACAAGAAACTATAGATGGGGGGGGCGGGGGGTTGGCGCTGTAGCTGAGCAGGTTAATGCCCTGGCCTGGAGCCCCGGCATCCCATATGGGCATCGGTTCTAGTCCTGGCTATTCCTCTTCTGATGCAGCTCTCTGTGGCCTGGGAAAGCAGTGGAAGATGGCCCAAGTCCTTGGGCCCTTGTGTCCGAGTGGGAGACCAGGAAGAAGCTCCTGGCTCCTGGCTTCGGATAGGTGCAGTTCCGGCCATTGCGGCCATCTGGGGAGTGAACCATCAGATGGAAGACCACTCTTTCTCTCTCTCTCTCTCTCTGCCTCTCCTCTCTCTGTGTAACTCTTACTTTCGAATAAATAAATAAATAAAAAGCAACTATAGATGGCTGGTAAATGCATAAAGATGTCATCCTTGGCTGTAGTCATGAAAAACGAAACATTTTAAGATTAATATTTTCATGATACAGACTGACAAAACTTTACCAGTTTTATATCTACCTTGCCCAGGGTATGGGGAAATGGGTAGATATTCACTGTTGGTGAAAACTAAATTTGTATGAGCATTTTGAATGTCAACCTGGAATACTATTAATATTTAAAATGTATACAGTCATAAAGCCAACAATTTACTTCTAAGTGTATACCACCATATAAGAAAACTCAAATATGTATACAAAGAAATACGCACAAATAAGGTTTAGAATCTTTCACAAAAATATCATGTGTTTGTATATTTTCCAGGTTAAATGAAAGCAGCAAGTCAAAAGCATAAGTCACCAAAGAGAAATATTACAGTTCACCAAAATCTGAAACAATCACTGTAAATACGATCATCAAGAATGGGAAATGAATGCTAATGGATATATCATTTTAAGGGTCATGAGAATAGCAACAGCTGCAAAAAACTGTGAATATACTAAAAACTGTTGAATTCATTATTCTAAATTGGTGAACTGTATGGTATGTGAGTTATACTCTAGCAAAGCGGTTTTTTTAAAAAGTAACAAAATCTGAAAATGTGCATTTGAATATAGGATACTGTTTTTAAGTAAAATACTCAGTAAATAAATGAAGTTTCCCCACATATAAAGTATGACTGTATCTGTTCTACCACCTTTATAAAGCCATTTTATTCAAATGACATGGAATAAGAGTTTCAATAAATATCCATTATAAAAACTTTTCTACAAACTTTTAAAATCACTATTAAAATTATTTCTATAGAATGCCTGCATATTAATATCAAAAACTTAAACCTAAAGAAAAAAGTGGCTGTCACAGGATGTTATGAGTTGTATTCTGGACAGGAAATGAAAAAGAATCTCGTAACAAACATACTCAATTGAAAGATCAGAAAGAGAGAAATGCATGGAATTAAGAAAGAAAAAGAAATGGAAGACATTTTAAACCAAATTTAAAAATTCCTGAGGTAACCTACTTGTTACAAAGTTCAAATTTTATAAGATATTAATTTGTTTTAAAGTAATATTTGTTTTATATTTGAAAAATATAGACTTAAAAGAAACTTATTAACTTAGAGTAGCAACTCTCAACTACCATTTTAAATCAGCTGATCTTTAAAAATATTTATTTTTGACAGTCTGATCCACACTAGAAAAATATAATCTTCATAAAAGAAAGGGATTAAGATGGAGTAAAACACTAGTTAAAATACAAAAAGGAAAAAAATAGATTGTACAATGAAATTGTAGAAAAAATAAGAAATGTACTCTGACCTGCCCATCCATCACTCCCAACAAAGCAGATTCCATCCACTGTACAGGTTCAATGAAATAAGATGTACATTGAGTCCCTGTAGCAAGCATGAATGATGGTGCCATTCTCTTGTGGGCAAAAGCTAATGGTCCACTTCCTTCACTGTGACCCAAAATACTTGAACTTCGAAATAAGGATCGCCTGCAATTCCCAAACAAACATATTAATCAAAAGGATTTTTAAAATAGATAAAATGTGCAGTATTTCTTCAAGGCCAAAATAACACAACATCGATTATACTTAAATTTTCAATAACCTCTACAATTTGGTGTTTTTAAAACTTATATTCTTAAAAACAAATTTGAACTAGAAATTTCTGTATCATTCAATTCAACAAATTCTTCCTACAGAGATATAAGAAAATGATATGCTAAGTGCTTTTCAGCTACTGAGAACACAAAATATTTTACCTGCACTTTCTACACTTGTAGAGAACTTCATCTTTCAGTCCTTGTGAAACAGTGGTTGGGTCAACAGCAAAGAGTTCTTGAGGTAAACTCTGCAATTCTATGACACAATTAAAATGCATCCATTTGTTATTATCAGCTTGGTATTTTCAGATAAAATTCTGTTTGTGTTTACTGTATTTGGGATATAGCTTGTGTTCTGTTAGGTGGGAAGTTAGACATTAGTCTATGTGCATTGAGGGGCTGAAGAACAAAAATGAGAATTTCATGTGGTTGAATGAGGGAAGGCAGAAGCATGCCTTCGAAGCAGACCAGCATTTGTGCAACAAAAGTCTTGCCCAAGTCCAACAGCCTTATTAGGTGGCTCCCAGCCCTCCCCTAAAGGGGCATCCTAGGGAACACTTCCCCACCCTATACCAGGGCTATTAGGTCTGGTAACAGGGTGCTAATGAAGTCCCTGGAGGAATTTCACAGATTCCCTCTGACCCTGCCCCAGTCTCCATGCAGACTGGGCTCTCAGTTCTTTGCTGAGTTCCCCACCTGGACTGTCAATTGTATTCTCTTCATTAAACCTCACTAACATGCTTACTGCCATTCTGTCTCATGTCTTTCTTGAGCAAAGACAAGGACCTCTGATCCAGCCATCCTGGGCCACTCCGCACAATGGTCCACATGCTGGAAGCTTGGCTCCCAGTGTGACAATGTTGAGAGGTGGTGGAACCTTTAAGAAGTAAGACCTAGTAGGAGGTTGTTAGGTCACTGTGGCCACTGCTCTTGGAAAGGATTAATGTAATTATTGCAAGACCCTGGTTCACTCCCACAAGAACAAATTATCATAAAAGGAGCAGGCCTGAGCTCCTAGTCGATTGCTCTTCTGCTGATCTCACCTGTGATTGTTCCTTCTTTCTCGCATACACTCCCACCATGTGAATTCTGGGTCATGATGGAGTCAGAAGGCCCTCACCAGAGCCAAGCAGAAGCTGGCACCATGCTCTTGGACCTTCAAAACTGTGAGCTAAAAAAACTTTTGTTTACAAAGTACCCAGCCTCAGGTACTTTCTTATAGCAACAGAAAATGGACTGATACAATGTCAACTGAACAATCAAGTGCTAACCTCAGAAATCAAAACAAAAACAAATTAGGATGAAGTTACAAAGCACAGTGATTAAGCTCTTGGCTTGAGTTCAAACCCAACGCTCCCATTTACAAACCACCTGACCCTGGATAAGATTCTAGCTAAACTGCAATTTCAAAAGAAAACAATTCCTATCTCATCTGATTGTGAGAAAACTGGGACAATGTATTTAGTGTTGTTGGGCAAGAAGTCAGATATTAACCTAAGGATGAGAGAGAGACTGAAGAACAAAAATGTGAATTTCCTGTTGTTGAATGAGGGGAGAAATGTAGAAACATGCCTCAGAAGCAGACTAGCACGATAACCTTGTTAGGTGGGTTCCAGCCCTCCCAGGACGGTTACTACTTAGGAGAATCTTCTCCACTCTGCCCCAGGGAAATTTTAGATTCAATTACATGGTGCTGATAAAGTCCTAGGAGGATCGTCACAAATTCCATGCCCGGAAAGCCCTCTACCGACCAGTGTTCCAGAAGAGGAAGGAGGGAGAAGAAATGATCGCTCCATACCCAGAACTCCCACCTAAGGCAGACTGGCTCTCAGTCCTTTGCTGCGATGCCCGCCTGGCCTGTCAGGTGTACTCCCATCACTAAACTTTGCTCCCTTGCTTACTACTACTCTCCGCAGCATGTCTGAAATTCTCTTCTTGCTAGAAGCAAGGGTCTCTGATCCACAGGTCTCTGGTAAGTGTCAGGGTAAAGGACATCAGGAAAGCACTCTGCATACACTGGCAATTAAGGTTACTTACCTGGATACTTCTCTGTAACCTTTTGTAAACGATATTGCTTATAAATCGCACTAGAGGTATCCACTTCATATCCCATTGCCTGGTATAATTTCAGTTGCCACTCAAACCCTTCGTTCATCCTGAAATGACAAAGAAATATAAAAGCCACAATTCTTTAAATAAAGCTACATCCCAAAAGCAGCAATATTACAATGAAGAACTCACTTAGCCTCTGGTTTGATGGTCTGGAGGTTCTCGTAGGCTTCTTCAAAGCTAAGCTTGTCATTCTTCATCACAAAAGCTGTCACTATCGCCACACTTCGACTGACTCCTGCATGACTGAAAAAGAAGCCTTCAAAATAAAATAAGCAAATAGCAACAATTAAAAAAAAACAATCCAGCCCCTCTATTAATGGCAAAGTTCCAATCCACTTCATTTCTACTTCTATTCAAATAAACCCATTACATCTGAAATACTACCAATGTATGAACAAGTTATCATCATTTTTGAAAGGCAGAGAGAGAGCTTCTATCCTCCACCATTTGGGACAACCCATGGGTGGCAGGAACCCAATTTCTTGGTTCATCACTGCAGCCTCCCAGGGTCTGTGTTAGCAGGAAATTGGAGTTAAGAGAAAGAAATCAAACCCAGATACTCCATGTGGGATGTTGGTGTTTCCGCTCCTATTTCCTTTTTCATTTTAAATTCTGAACTACGAGAATGTATCTCACCTATTCAAACTTAATCACTCTTTTTTTTTTTTTTTTTTTTATGTTGTGAAGCCTTTGTAACAAATGAAAATTCTTTTGCTCTTAGCATTAAGGGCCTGGAGCTCTGGTACCAAACAGGATCCAATTTAAAAAAAAAAAAAGAATTTAAGCCGGCACCACAGCTCACTAGGCTAATCCTCCGCCTTGCGGCGCCGGCACACCGGGTTCTAGTCCCGGTCGGGGTGCCGGATTCTGTCCCGGTTGCCCCTCTTCCAGGCCAGCTCTCTGCTGTGGCCAGGGAGTGCAGTGGAGGATGGCCCAAGCACTTGGGCCCTGCACCCCATGGGAGACCAGGAGAAGCACCTGGCTCCTGCCATCGGATCAGCGCGGTGCACAGGCTGCAGCGCACTGGCCGCGGTGGCCATTGGAGGGTGAACCAACAGCAAAAGGAAGACCTTTCTCTCTGTCTCTCTCTCTCACTGTCTACTCTGCCTGTCAAAAAAATAAAAATTAAAAAAAAAAAAGAATTTGTTTATTTATTTATTTGAGACGTAGAATGAGAGAGAGAGAGAGAGAGAGAGAGAGAGAGAGAGGCACAGACACAATGTGGTCTTCCATCCACTGGTTCACTCCCCAAATGGCCGCAAAGGCTGGAGCTGGGCCAATCCGAAGCTAGGAGCCTCTTCTGGGTCTCCCATGGGGATGTAAGGGCCCAAGCATTTGGGCCACCTTCTACTGCTTTCCCAGGCCATAGCAGAAAGCTGGATTGGAGAGGAGCAGCCGGGATTTGAACCAGCGTCCACATGGGATGCCCACGCAGCAGGTAGAAGCCTAACCCACTATGCTACAACGCCGACCCCAGGACCCAGTTTTTTAACTACCTTCCTTTCTTTGTGTAAATATTGAGAACAAGTGGTTGACACACAATAGTTACTCAATAAATTTAAAACTACTGCAACCCAATCCAAACAGCGCTACCTAGGGATACCCAAATATCCATCAAGAATTTATCTTTTTGCTTTTGCTGCAACTTACCCACCCCAACTCTCCCCTAGGCAAGGCCCAGGGGATCCTTCAGATCCTAACCAATTCTCCCCTTCATGAGCACCCTGCCCCCACACACACCTCACACAAAAACAATTAGAAATGATCTGCCGTTCCTCTGAAGTCTGAATACTTAACCTGAGTACATACTCTATCCTAGGTTGTGTTACAATCATTGGGTGGGTGTTTTGCCTCCTAAGGAGCTGTAAAAGCTTGAGGCTGTAGGGACTTTGTCATTCATCTGATGACTCCTCCCATCCAACCACCCCAAAACAACTCAGTTGCTACTGAATGAACCAAAGCATGAAAGAAGGAAAGCACGCGCGCCAGCAGTGGCCCGCCTCCTGCTCCTGCCCCTCCCTCCCCCTGGAACACACACCTCTGCGGGAGGGAGTGGGAGGGGGTCCCCTCCCCTAGGGGCCTCGGAGTGACAAGGAGCAGGCTGGGAGCAAAGTCAGGCTCCTCTCCACCCCCCCAACCCGTCCACTCACCAGTGCACCAACACTGCACGGCCCTCAGTGCGGGCCTGGCCGATGAAGGCCACGCACCGATCCAGGTGGCTGAGCAAGTCAGTCTCGGGTTTATCTAGCGCCGGCACGAAGAGGCTCCGCAGACCCTCGACCCCAGCCCCCGCCTTGAACCCGGGCTCCTCCGAGTCCACCGTCAGGATGGCCGTGATCCCCGCCTCTCTGAGGTGGTCCGGCTCCGCCACGGCCGCGGCTCCACCCAGGTACAGCCCTGGCCGCACTTCCAACATGGGCACGGCGGAGGCGGTCGGGCTCTCGCTCGGATTCCGATCCTGGAAGCCATGGCTGGGACTCTGAGATTCCAACATGGCGGCCCCCGGAAGCCAGGCCGCTGCGGTCTCTACCACCGAGTGGCCGCGGGCTAGAACATCCCTCCCCGGGACCCGTCGGCCTCCGCGACTCAATTGCGCCCTCGGAGGACCACGTCGACTGCCGGAACGGGAGCTTGGGAAAGGGGAGACAGTACCAGGGCTCAGGAGCAGTTAAACTCCATTCAGAGTGGCCTTGCGACCCATGTTTTCCTCGTCGCCTCCAACGTCCTCAAAGGCAAGTGTCTCTGGTTTTTTCTGGGGAGATTTTCAGGAAAGGGGCGACAGGACAGGTAAAGTAAATTTGAAATGAGAGTCCCACCGTTTCAGGTATTTGAAGTAAAACCTGTTAACCGTGTGTATAAAGCTGTTTGCATTTCTTCCTTTTGTATTTTTGCTTTTTTTTTTTTCTTTTTTTTTTTTTTGCTTATTTTTTAGTTGAGGTGAATCGCTTTCGTGTGTTTGTGTATCAGTTCCCTCAGCCAAAGACCATCAGGGACCCACCTGTAGTTAAGCAGTTTGGTTCTTATTCAACCATGAACTATGGACATTTCTGCATCATCTCAGCAAGTCGGTGTTAGGGACATTCCATCAGAGGATGCGGCTTTTATTAGGTGATTTTGGAGAGAGTTTGAGTAAGCTAGGCTTTGCGCTAGATTGGATGGTGTCAGGAAGCAGGAGCGATTCCATGTTTATTTACGGGGAGAGCAGGCTAGACAGACACTAGAGCTGTAATTGGTCAGTAACTAGCAGTTAAATGGTTCTGGTGTAAAGGCTGGTACATATCAACAGAACAGAATGGGGCCCAAAAAATAAACCCTCACACATATGATCAAATAATCTTTAACAAGAGTGCCAAGACCACAGAAAGGAGAAAGACAGTCTCCTCAGCAAATAGCATTGGGAAACGGAATATTCACATGCAAAGGAATGCGACTGTGCCCTTGCTTTACACCATATACAAAACATTGCTCAAAAGGGTTAAAGACCTAAAAATGCAAAACACTAGCAGAGTTTCTAGAAAAAGCACAGGGGGGAAAGTTTCATGCATTGGATTTAGCAAAGATTTCTTGGCTGTGGTACCAAAAGCACAGGCAAGAATCAAAATGGATAAATAGGGCTACATCAAACTTAAAAACTTATATGCTGGGGCTGGCGCTGTGGCTCACTTGGTTAATCCTCCACCTGCGGTGCCGGCATCCCATATGGGCACTGGATTCTAGTCTCGGTTGCTCTTCTTCCAGTCCAACTCTCTGCTGTGGCCCGGGAGGGCAGTGGAGGATGGCCCAAGTGCTTGGGCCCCTTCACCCGTGTGGGAGACCTGGAAGAAGCAGCTGGCTCCTGGCTTCGGATCAGCGTAGCTCTGGCCGTAGCGGCCATTTGGGGAGTGAACCAACGGAAGGAAGACCTTTCTCTCTGTCTCTCTCTCACACTGTCTAACTCTGTCAAAATAAATAAATAAATAAAATAAAATAAAAAAACAATTCTATGCTGTCCACAGAGTGAAAAGGCAATCTATAGAATGGAGGAAAATAATTGCAAAGCATATATCTGAAAAGGAGTTAATATCCAGAATAAACAGAGAACCATAACTCAACAGAAAAGTAAGTAACTCATTTTTAAGTGGGGAAGCAACATTAATAAACATTTCTCCAAAGAAGATACAGAAATAGCTAAATAAGAAAAGATACTCAACATCATTAATCATTAGAGAAATGCAAATCAAAACTACAATGAAATATCATTCATACCCATTAGAATGGCTACTATCAAGAAAACCCTGGGGCCGGCATCCTGGTGTAGCAGAGAAAAACACAGCCATGTGGTATCCATATGGGCATGTACTGGCTGCTCCACTTCCCATCCAGCTCCCCACTAATGGCCTAGGAAAAGAAGGAGAGGATGGCTCAAGTGTTTGGACCTCTGCCACCCATATGGGAGACCTGGAACTAACCCAGCCCTGGCTATTGCAATCTTCCAGAGAGTAAACCAGTGGATGGAAGATCTCTCTGTCTTTCCCTCTCTGTAACTTTTTTTAAGTAAATAAATCTTTAAGAAAAGCAAGAAAGAAATTTAGAAAACCCTGAAATGGAAATTACCATTTGATTGAACAATTGCACTTCTGAGATATATGTCTAAAAGAATTGGAAGTGGGATCATAAAGAGATATGTGCACACCATGCTCACTGCAGTATTATTCACAATTTCTAAAAAGTGAAAGCAACCCAAAATGTCCATCCATAGATGAATGGATAAAGTGTGAGACATGTGTGTCTATATGTGGTGTGTGTATGTGTGTGTAATGGAATATTATTCAGTGTTACAGGGAAGCTGTCACATGTTACAATATGGACAAACTTTAAAGACATTCTGCTTAGGGATATAAGTCAATTACAAAAGGACAAATACACGATTCCACTTACACAAGGTATGTAGTATAGCCAAAATGATGGAAGCAAAAAACAGAATGGTAGTTTCCAGGGGATAGGGGAAGAGAGAAATTGAATGTTGTTATTCAGTGGGTATAGAATTTCAGTGAGATAAAAAAGTTCTAGAGATCTGTTACACAGTAGTGTAGGTATCATTAACGCCACCAAACTATACCCATAAAAATGATTAGGAGGGTCAATTTTATGTAAGGTGGGTTTTTTGCTACAATTTTTTTTAAAGTAGCAGTCATTTTAGCCAGGCTATATATTTATTATTTTGTGATTTAGACAGTGTTAGTCTTTTATCTGTGTTCAGACATGATTACATAGAGGTCTTACTCTTGTCTGGGTCCATTGTGGCCTCACAGAAGCCTTGTCTTCTGTTGATGTTTTGTGTAGTTATGCTCAACAGAACAAAAACACCCAGCTGTGAGTGCCTGGCCAGCAGTAGCAACGTTAAGGAAGACCTGGTTCTAGTACAAGGCCAGTCCCTGCATGCCAGCCCTGGCTTTTCTCTTTCTCATGTAAAACTATAATTTTTAAAGAGTGTCCTTGGAGACCCAAGGCAAAGACACTTGAGTCTCACCCGAGTCACATGGAGGAAGGACTGCTTCTGTTTGGGATCCGAGTCCCAGGCAGTGGGCAGTCTGTAGGTTTCCAGACAGAGTGGTCTCCCTATTTCCACCACAGGCTGTGAACTTCCTTAAGGTTAAGGACTTTGCTTTTTCCTCTTTGTGTCTGCCACAGAGTCTAGGCTAAGGCTGCTGATTCATCAATCTTTGTGAAAGTTAGAAGCAAAAAGGAAAAGAATGCCAGAAGAGACATCCTGCATCTTTTCTTCTCAACCCCTATTTTTTCCCCAAGCCCAAAGGCTTTATCTAAGAGGTGCACCAGTGGTTTAGTCTGACAAGTCACATTAGCAGTCTTCTGAGCCCCCATGTTGAATCAATCCAACTTTCCTCACTTCAGAATCCTGGAAACAGGTGCTTTCAGGCACAACCGTAGATGGTGATGCTGTGAGAATGAATAAGCCAATCTTTGCCCTTTACAGTACTTGGAGAAAACCTGGAGTGAACAATAAGTATGTAGTCTAAGTAGTGTTATAATAGAAGTGAGGGCAAGGTACTACAGGAGCACATAGGGAGAACCAACCCTAATAAAGAAGGAGGTAATCCATTGGATCTGCTTCTTGAAGGATGAGTGGGAATTTGTCAGGCAAAAAAAGAGGTAGGGAGGGAAGAATTTCTAAGCAGATGGACCAACATCTACCAACACACAGAACGTAGAAAGCACCACCAAAGTCTATCTCTGTTGTTGAAGAGAGGAAGAAGGAGGATCAAGGTGATTTTCATAGTCTACAGAACACTGGAAAGATAGGCGTGTCCAGATGATGAGGGCAACATATGCCTTGTTAAGAAGTTTTGACTTTTTTCTTAAAGACTATGCAACCTACTGAAGAAGTGTAGGCAGAAGAATAATACAACGTGGCTTGCATTTAAAGAAAGAAACCTGACTTCAGGAAGGGGAAATGGGTTGCGGAGGACAATTATAGAGGCAGAGCCCGGTTAAGTGTTTTAAGGGGGTGACAAGGGATTAGGGTACTGACAGAGGGAACAGAGAGAAAGTGAATGTGTTTACAGCTACTAAGGTAGAAGAAAGTTGAGACCAAATTGCTATGGGAGATTTGAAGAAGGAGGAATCAAAAATTACTTTGTTTCTGGTTTCACCAAGGCAGGGAATAGAGGAGAGTCCCGCTTCAATCCGGGAGCACCAGCTTGTGCTCCTTGCCCAACTAGGCTCTCAGCCGAGGCTTGCCCAGCCATTGAGCCACAAACAGCAGCAAGAATCTCCAGGTATGAAACAATACAGACCGGAAGATGAGTTTTTACCCATTTCCTTTACATGACAAAGACAGACTTGAAAAGTGGTTGAAGAATATGAATCAAGATTCATGGGTTCCTAGTACAAGTTCCTGTGTAGTGACCATTTTCACCAGACTCTCTTGATATCTAGTTGGGGTATTTGATATCTGAAACAGAATGCAATTCTGCAATATTTTCTTTGCCTGGAAGACAATGAGGGAAAGATTCTTTCAAACAAACAAAAAAAAATCTCAGAAGAAAAAAGTAGAGGATGAGAAGGAAGTATGCATGGGAGCCAAGCCAGAAGAATCATAAATATGGACACAGGTAGGCACCCTGAACATGCTTGATTCATTTGCCTTGGTCATGCCGCCATCTCCAAAAACAGGAAGCATACAAAATAATTTATTAACTATTAACCTGGTTAAACCAGACACTGAAAAACCAGAATCCATCTTGGGAAGATCGTTAACCTAGACACAGATAAAGGTAGTTTTCACACATCTTTTGAGAACAACTATTACTTTGACAACTTCAAATTCAGAAAGTACGCAGCAGTCTTTGGAAACCCAAGAGGTACTTGAAATAACTACCAATCATCTTGCTAATCCAACCCTTACAAGTAATTCCATAGAAATTAAATCAGCCCAGGAAAGTATAAGTATGTAATTATGGGACAGAAGTTTTACAAAGTGAGCATCCTTACTGCAGACAAGACATAGATAAGGAACATCTTTGGCAGAAAGTCTGTAAACTACATTCACAGAGGGCTCTTCTTGAGCTACAAGAGCAACAAACTTTAGGAAGATTGGAGTCTTTAGAAGGTCTTATAAGGCAGGAAAACTGGCTATCTGAAGAAAATGTCAAGATTATAGAAAACCATCTCACAACATATGAAGTTACTATGATATAAAGAGGCTTAACGCTATGACTTGAATGTACATTTTTCCAGCCAAACCAGAAGTTATATGTAAAATGCACTTTTTCCTGTATAAATTCTCATATTAATGAAGCTACAAAAGTCCTCTAATATTATAAATGTCATCCTATTATTGTAATGCTAATCTTGGAGAAAAAGAAAGTTGCTGAGCTAGGCCACAAAATAGTTTTTATTACTTGATGATTTTCCAAATTAAAGTTACAATACAGTGAATAAATGTAATATTCAGTCATAAAATGAAAGAACAAAGATAGAGCCCAGATCAGAAGTCAGGTTCAGGAATTGATTCTGGTTCTACACTTGTTTATGACTTGGGTACGTTACTTATCAAGCCTTAGCCTCAGTCCCTAAACTGTAAAATAAAGGCACTTGTTAGATCTCTTTATAGTGCCTTATCTTACTATTAAAATACATTTAGCAGAACAGATTTTTATAAGATAATATAATGGTAGATATTGGAGTTTAATGAAGTATTGTATTCTCCTCAATATTTATTGAACTCTGTGTTATTTGACTTTTGGCTATAGTTCTGTATCTGTAATATAATGGAAAATACTGCTTTTGTAGTTTATTTCAGTTGAACGAAACTAAGGAGCCACCCATTAGCTCAGTTCTTAGGAGAGGTACTTTTAACTTGAAAAAATATTGTATTTCAGCACATTACAAGTTATTGACCATCATAATACATAGTCATTTAAAATTGTAGTAATGACCTATATTTATAGTTATATTTATAAGCCAAAAATTTTAATGAAGTTGATTAAAAAATATATTTCTTAGAAATCTTAGTTTGTACCTGTTTCTTGATAGGTTTAGCTTTTAAGGTGTCTGCTATGTCATTTTTTTTTTTTTGACAGGCAGAGTGGACAGTGAAAGAGAGAGACAGAGAGAAAGGTCTTCCTTTTCCGTAGGTTCACCCCCCGCAAATGGCCGCCACGGCCGGTGCACTGTGGCCGGCGCACCGCGCTGATCCAAAGCCAGGAGCCAGGCGCTTCCACTGGTCTCCCATGCAGGTGCAGGGCCCAAGGATTTGGGCCATCCTCCACTGCACTCCCGGGCCATAGCAGAGAGCTGGAGTGGAAGAGGAGCAACTGGGACAAAATCCGGCGCCCTGACCGGGCTATGTCATTTTAAATTCCAGAATACCAGAGTAATACTTAGTACTACCTCTCCACTTATGTTTCTATACCTCTCCATATTAAAATTCATAAGCAAGAAATTATACATAAGTGATAATTATAGAGTCAGCTTTTCTCTTACAAAAGAGAAATGATGTTGATATAACTAAAAATACTACTTACATGCACACAATTTAAGAAAAAGAAATATAATAGCAAACTTTGTTGTGACAATATGAATTTGATAGATCATACATTCCCTGAAAATTGGAAATAGATACAATTAGTTATGTTACTACTTATGGTGTTGAATAAGTTCCTTTCAGTCGGATTCTTAGTTTTCTCATCTGTTAGATAAGACATATTGTCATCTGTCTTAAAGGATAATTTTGAGTATTTAATAAGATAACAAATATCTTTTGGTCCTTGAAAATAGGAGGTATTCAATAAATATAGTCCCTGAGTTACAAATAATATGCTAATTGCTTTCTAAATGCATGATTTATTTTTTTTCCTAGATTTTGCTTGGTTTCTTCAGGCTATAAAAATTAATTGGTATTATGTGAAAGTTTATAAGCTAATTATAAAGAGATTATAGGTGTCTTTATTAGGTGATCATGGAGAAACAATTTTTAATATAAATTGTATGCAGATAATTAGTAGAATTAATAAATTTTACTTTTAAGTAGTCCCATGGTACATTTTACTAATTCTTAAATAATAGAGATGAAAGAAACTATAAGTCCCAATAAAGTAGTGATATGTGATTTCAACTCAGTTTTCAACAGTATATATCATAATTTTCTGTTCGTTCATAGATTCCTCAGGAATGTAGCTGACCTGTGCGAATGGGCAGAGGAGGACCCACTCAGTGTTCAGATGGCAAATATAGAAGTTGTCTGGGGAGTAAAGGGTTAACCATGCAGACTCAGCTTGTTCAAGCCCTGCACAATCTAAAGAAAGGCCTGTCTTCAGGAGATCTGGGCCTTGACCAGCTCCTTGGCCCACATCATATCAAATTGACTAGATGATTTATGCTACCAGTGTGGCTTCTGGGAAAGACCTAGTTTTATATGCCTGATACCCTGGGCCCCTGGGAGGCTGGAGGTTTGTCACACAAGCCATGTATACCCATGTAACTGGTCAACCGAAAAACACCCAGGCATGGGTGGGCTTCCTTTTTGGCAATTCTTTACACAAGTTGTCACACATCATTGTTGGGAGAATTAAGCACATACCTGTATGACTCTTTGGTAAGGCGGTACCCAGAAGCTTGTATCTGGTTTCTCCTGGACTTCACCCATGTGGCTTTTCCCTTTGCTGATTTTAGTCCGTATCCTCTCACTGTGATGAACCAGAACTTTGTATTACAACTCTCCTGAGTGCTGTGAATCCCTCCAGTGCCTCAGTGAGCCTTGGAGACAGCACATAGAGTGCAGGTTATTTATTACAGTGGAAAACCAGGATGATCTCAACGACTGCAAGTAGTAGATTGGTTAAATGGGTGATCTGAGCTACTCAGTGAAATACTAGGCAACTATTAAGAAAGACAACGGAGAAAATGGTCTGTGATAACCATATAAATTTGGTTTAAAAAGGAAAAGATGGTTTCCAAATTGAAAGTATTCCTAAGCCCATTTATTTAAAACATGTATATGTCTGGAAAATATTGAAAGACATACATCCAGTGTTAACTAATTACTTCTGGGAGCCAGCATTGTGAGGGAGACCTATATGATAGGCATCATACACTTTTTTTATACTTAGTTTATATTTATTAAAACTAATATTGTTAAGGTTATTGACTGTTAATAATGGCAGATATTTAACAATGGAAAAGAACAAAAATTTAAGGATCCACCTACTGACATTTTATTATAATATCCTAATCACCCCTTAGCTTTATTAGTTTTATGTTGGAATAGCGTTCTCCTCCCACTAATCCCAAAGCTTACTGTGAGCTCCTTCAAGGATGGAAGTAGAAGACACACCTGGGTCTGTACTGAAAGCCCACAGAGCCTAGCTGTGTACATATCTGTAACTAGGTGACTGCCTCGGTTGATTTAACGTCTGTGTTGTACTCTTAGTCACTAGGTGGCGTATTTGCTCTTTTGCAAGATACATGATATTTTCCCCACACCTCCTTGAAAGAGGGAAAAATGAGGCTCCTGGAAGGAAATAGTGTCTAGAGAGGGAGCTGGGTTGCTTCTGGTCAAGGAAAGAAGCAGCAGCTCCTTGTCTTGGGATTGGTAGCGCGAACTCTCTCCAACTCTCCTCCCTCTCTCTCACACACAGACACAATGTGCCTGTTTATGTTACACCAGTGCTCCTGCAGTCTCTATGAGCACTGGCAAAACAAACATTTCTCATAATTATTAAGAGCCCTTTAGCCATGTGATGATGGCCTCGTAACATGTAACAAACATGTAACATGGCCCATCACATGAGGACATGCATCACCCAGCCTTTTCACTCTCCGGGTTTCTCAGAATCTTTGGCTGCTAGAGTAGAGCGTAGTCACATGTGCGATGTAGAATCATCATCTTTAAAAATACTCCCTGTAGGTACATAGCTCTGCTGAGCAATGGGCAGGGAAGTCCCCCTTGTTGTCCCATCACCTCCCAGATGTGCTAAGACAAGTTCCTCTTTCTATTTCCAGCATGGTGCCAGTTTCCTTCTGCACCCAAAAGATTATCTGTAAATGATCATCTATTTGGAGACTTAAGATCTAGAATAATTACAAGGTATGCCTGAAATGTGCTTTGAGGCCCCCAGATAACAACATTGAACAAAAGTATAGATGGGTGATAATAACAGAATTCTATTAAGCTTTCTGGGTTTGCAAGTAGAAGATAGTTACTGAGAAAGTGATGAGTGCGGATTTGGTCCTGTCTTTGAAAGGCACAAATCTGAAGCCAGAGAACCTAGGTCTGAATCCTAAGTTGCATCGGTCCTGCTTCTTACCAGCGTGATCCTGTGCTCCTAGGGAGTTATTTATCTAAACCGCTTCTAAATGAGAGTAAGTATATACGTGTTGTGGAGTTGTAGTAAGAGTTAACTTAGCATCAAGTCTTATTAGTGGGAGAAAGAAATTTTAAGCTAACCCAGTGTCCCAGAGGCAGTTTGGAGGGGATGCAGAGCAGGGGGCCTTGGAGCTGCGATGGCCTGACTGGAAAACGAGGCTGTGAATGATGGCAGCAAGCAAGCTGTGCACCAGAGGTGAACCACTGTGTGCGTTCACTTCAGGGGCTGAATGGCCGTGAGCATGAGGGGGAAGTGGATCTTACCAGCTGCCCTGCCACAACCACATCCCTAAGCCTCTTATCAATTTAGAGGTCGGTGTCTTTGTGAAGATGTGTCCTCCTCCTTCCTTAGAAGGGTGACTCTTATCAAGAGGAAGTAACTTCCGTTCCATGGAACCTTGGGACAAGAGATGATGGCTGGAGTTGGTCAGCTGATGAAACAGCTCTGCCTGACTTACTCCCACCCCAGCCCTCGGTATTTGCAAGCCCATCACGTCGTGCCAATGCCCAGAAATGTACTGTGACAGGAACTGGTTGGTGATGTTTGGTCATGTTCTCAGTTCCTTTTTGGGCTCAAGGAGAAACTGGTAAACAGAGAATCAGATGAGTGGGGAAAGGGAGACCACAGATGTTCCCTGGTCCATATCCAAATTTGCTGGGTTACATTTTTTGTAAGCTCCCTCCCTCCACCCTGAACAAACAAGATGGGGGGAATGGCCATGAGCCCTCCCTTTTCCGGTGTCACAACCCCGGGAGCTCTTTTGCTCCCTGAACTACTTAGTTTAGTGTGTTGTATAGTGCTCTGGACCTGTACACACATGTCCTAGACTTCAGTTTGGGTTCTGTCATGTATTAGTTAAATAATTTCACCCAAACCAGTTAAGCCCTATGAATGTTAGTGTTCCCATCCAGAAGACACAAGACTAGTAGTGCCTTCTTACCACCAAATCTATCCCCCCCTTCCTCTGAGAGTGTATCATACTCACTACTTCATCGCTTCTTTTTTTTTTTTTTAAGATTTTATATATTTATTTGAGAGGTAGAGTTATAGACAGTGAGAGGGAGAGACAGAGAGTAAGGTCTTCCTACTGTTGGTTCACTCCCCAAATGGCCGCAATGGCTGGAGCTGTGCTGATCCGAAGCCATGAGCCAGGTGCTTCTTCCTGGTCTCCCATGTGGGTGCAGGGACCCAAGCACTTGGGCCGCCTTCTGCTGCTTTGCCAGGCCACAGTAGAGAGCTAGATTGGATGCTGGTGCCGCAGGCAGAAGATTAACCTACTTGGCCTTGGCGTTAGCCCCACCTCATCGCTTCTAAGAAGCACTTCTTTGCCTGCTGCATCTTGGTACATTTTCCTTCAGTAATTTAGTTGCCCTGATATCTACCATGAGGGTTGAAAATAGAGATGGGCCATCTACAAACATTCAGATTGGCAGATTTCATAACCTGTCTAAACAAGAGAAAAAAATTAATCGAGCTGTTCAATAGAAGCAGTTTTCTGTGGTACCAAAGTGATGCATATTTTTAAATTTCTTAAAGAAATCCTCTGGCTTTTGTCTCTGTGTCTTATTTCTTGCTCATGGAATAACACGAGGACTTGAGTCTCAGGTTTGCACCATGTAGGTAGGGCTACCCATCCCTAAATCATGTGTTCAACTGACAGCAGAAACTTGGAGGACTCAAAGAAGTCATATATTTTGGCTGGAAGAAACAAGAGAAAATTCTCAAAGAGGGTGGCATTTGAGTTGGGTCTTTCCCATTGGTGAAGAAGATGAGGGGTTAGGGCCAGCAAAGAGTGGTAGGAACAGAAAGAGGGTCATGAGGCAAGAAATTGGAGACCTGAGGTCTGAGACCCTTGGCATTGTTTTACTGAACGTGCCTGGTCTGTTAATGCCAAAAGGAGGATTTGTTTTGAGACTTCCCAGGCCTATCTGGAACATGCGTTGTCACACTAGCCACATCAGCCTGCACTGAGACCCCACAGAGTTGTCCAGGTACCATGTGTTCCTGCCAGACCCCTGGTCTCCCAGCCCTTTCACAGAGGGTTTCAAAGTCTCTTACAGGGACCTCAGTTGCCCTAAATGGGTAAGTCCCCCTGCTTCTATACCTTCAGACCATCAAGTCAGTAAGGTGGCCTCCAAACCAGAATATTCTAGAGCAGCTGACTGCAGGAGTGACTTGGAAATGTGCATGAAAGCAAGCAGCTTCCATTAGTGCCAGCATTAATTTACCAAGAAGTCTTGCCCTGGTGGCCTGTTTTTTTTTTTTTTTTTAATGTATTTATTTATTTGAGAGGCAGAGTTACATACAGAGACAGGGAGAGACAGAGAGACTCTTCAATCTGCTGGTTCATTCCCCAAAATGGCCACAATGGCTGGAGCTGGGCCGATCTGAAGCCAGGAGCCAGGAGCTTCCTCCAAGTCTCCCACACAGCACTTGGGCCATCTTCCACTGCTGTCCTGGGCTATTGGCAGAGAGCTGGATCAGAAGAGGAGCAGCCAGGACATGAACTGGCACTCATATGGGATGCCAGCCCCACCTGTTCTTTTCTGACAGAGTCATGAGGTAGGCAGGTTAGGAGACTATTCACACACATTGTGTACTTCCCTAGGCTTTTTGGAGACAACTCCTTGTGAACAGGGAGAGAATTATGGGGTAGATATTTGGATGATGAGTTAAACAATTATACCCAAAGGGATCCTTGGCAAAAAAAATAGATTTCTAGTGAAAGAGAGTCCCACTCAAATTTCTTTTACCTGCTTTATTCTACATTTGTTTTGAGAGAGAGAGATTTGGATTAGGACACAAGACATATTTCCTAATTTGTGCTAGAAACCAGGAAGGATTGCATTAACATCCAAAATTATTTAATTGAATTAACAAAGTAATCATTCAAAAGAGATAACTGTAAGGCTCTGATTTTTTATTTATTTTGAAAGAGTTACAGGGGCCAGCATTGTGGCATAACAGGCAAAGCCCCCACCTGCAGAGCCGAATCCAGTATGGGCACCGGTGCAAGTCCCAGCTGTGCACTTCCATCCAGCTTTCTGCTATGGCCTGGGAAAGCAGTAGATGTCTCAAGTCCTTGGGCCCCTGCACCCATGTGGGAGATCTATAAGAAGCTCCTGGCTCCTGGCTCCTGGCTCTGGATTGGTCCAGCTCCAGCCATTGTGTCCATTTGGGGAGTGAGCCAGCAGATGGAAGGCCTCTCTCTCTAACTCTGCCTTTCAAATTAATTCAATAATTTAAAAAAAAAGTTTCAGAGAGAGAGGAGCATTGGGACACGAACCAGCAATCACATGGGATGCCAGTACTGCAGGTGGTGGCTTTACTCACTGTGCCACAGTGCCAGCCCCAAGGCTCGGAATTTTGATCCTCAGAATGGACTACATAAATATAAATTAGGGATCAAAGAGGTGTGCCTTAGATAAAAAAACCTATCCCTTGAGTGGAGTTTATAAGCAAAATCAGCTCAGTGGGGTTGGATAATGGCTCTGACTCCCGAAAGCAGCTATCTCCGTGGGCTATGCTGAACTCCACATAAAAGACCTGAGTTCTAGTCCAATCCCAGCACTAACAAATCGTTTAACTTCTTGGGTCTCAACCTCCTTCTCTCTAAAACTAACAACTTGGACTGTATATCCAGGTCTCTTTCATCAATAAAATCCAGGACTCAGCCCTTTATTGTCTGTGGCCAGGGTGTCAGTGCCTACGCATGACCATCTGTGTCACATCCACAGATCCTGGATGCTGGGTGCATGTTCGTGCTGGCCAGTGAGAGCCCTTGTGCAACGTATGGAAGGTGAAAGTGAAGCAGAGGTTATATTTCTCCAGCTGCTGCTGCTTCTGGAAACCTGGTTGAAGAAACTTTTAGGATTTTCTGTAGCAACTGTCATGCTGCCTCCATGTCCAGGCCCCAGTTTTGTGGTGCAAGTGGCAGAGTCCTGAACATGCATTTCTTGGACCATAGCGGATAGGGCAAGGTCCTGGCGCCTCAGCAGTAGCAGCATCTGTCTTATTGTGACTCTTTCCTGATCACAGCAGGGCTCGTGTGATCCCAGACTGGCCATTTTCTGATCATGGAAGAGGCAACAACTCCCTTGGTGAACTGATGTTGGGAGGCTTTGCTGAAAATTGAAACCAGAGTCTGTTCCTTCATCCCTCTCAACCATTCCATAAGCTATGAAATGCTGTGTAATAAATTCTTTCCTACTTAACCCAGCCAGAGTGGCCTCTGTTGTCTGAAATTGAACCTTCATCAATATGATAATATACTTAGAAAGCTCTTTTTTTTTTAAGGCCTGAGGAAGTACATATCAAATGGTTAAGCACTAGTTGTCTCTTCAACCTACTGAGGGGCTGGGTGGGAGGGTGGCAACTGATAGCAGACTTTAGCATTTTCCTAAATAGTATGATTTTTTTTTTCAAATAAACTCTTCATCAATAATGCTATGTTTAAAAAAGAAACAAAATGAGTGAACTTGCGAGTTCGAACATTGAGAGCATAATTCACGGCTCATCACAATGCAGCTTCTGTTTGTCATAATCCACTTAAAATGCATTCTTTCCTGTTCCCAGCACCTTGCAATTTGAAGTGTGCCCTGAGAACCAGCAACACTGGCATCAATTAGGAGTTTGTTGGAAATGCAGACTCTCAGGCCCCACCCTGGACCCGCTGCATCACAGAATCCATTTGCAGAAAGGCCCTGGGGGATTCGCGTGTATACTAAAGGCTGCTTCTCTTGCTAAGGGAGCAAGTCCTGCAGTGACTTAGCCACTAGCATGATTTCACTGTATACATCAGAATGCAGCCAGTCCTGGTGATCAGGCCTCCAATGTTTACCTAAAGAGAGATCTTTGTCCTCTTGCTTACACAGGTGAAGTTCTGACTTGGGGAAGGAACTTGCTCTGCCTCTGCCTCATCCTTTCTCCTACCACCTCCCTCCTGGCCTCTCCTCCTCCCCTCGTTAGCATGCTCCCTTTGCTTCGCATCTAGGCCAGAAGAGGAAAGAAGAGAGAAGAGAGAGAAGGCAGATAAGGAAATGAAGTTCATAACTGGTAGCCAGATTCCTACTCTCTGAACTTGGCGAGTGGCTCACGCGGGCACTTTTGTGGGCTTTCTGGAGATGTGCATTGCTGGGAACTGCTCTCCTACGATCTTGTGGCTCAGGACAGACATTTACTTGCCCTTTTCCCTCACCCTCTAGGCATCCAGTTTCACAGCCAGCCTTCTGGTGTCTTTGTCTACCCCTCTTGGTGGTCTTGTTGTGCAGGAACCAAGACAATCTCATGCCGCCTCTCTATCGTTCTTGTACCAAGGAGATACAAACAGACATCATTTTAGGATATTTATAGTACAAGCTAATCCCAAAAGAGACCCTTCTATCCTTCAATCATAGTTCATTCTAGCTTCCTCAGGCCTAAGGCAGGCCCAGTTCTCTGTCTCCCAACTGCAGAGGACACATTTCTGCTCTCTCTGAGTGACTCCACTGGCATGTCCTCAATAGATTTGAGAAGGAGGCAGTGAGAGTCCAACCCCCACCCCGCCCCTACTATGAGGGAGAAACCTCTTCCCAGACCCTCTCTCTTCTCCCTACCCTGCCCCCCTTTTATCTCTTAATGATTTCAGAGTCCCTCCCCCTCCCCCTTCCCTCCCCCTTCCCTCCCACTCCCCTCTCCCTCCTCTTCCCCCTCTCCCTCTCCCTCTCCCTCTCAACCATTTCCTTTGTAAATCTGTTTATGATGGTCCGCTTCAGAATGTCACATCTGTTGTATCTTGAGATAGTGCTTTTGACATCCTGTCACAAGTGCAATTGCTTAATTGTAAAAAATAAAAATAAAATCCTGCCTTCCTGCCTTATTCTTTTCCAGATCCACCCATCTGAGGAACTGCACTCAGCTGTGGGTCCCACACTTTAAACAGATTTTACAGCAACTGGAGATGTGTTCAGGAAGCCAGGATAAAGAAGGAATCCCAAATGAGGAAGACTTGAAAAACCTGAAAACAGAAACTGTTAAAAAGAAAATTGTATCTTTAAGAAAACCTAAGCAAGAGCTAAGCAGCCCCTAAATACTGTCTTGAAGGCAGATCTAGATACCATCAGGCACCAGTCTCCTAGCCTCCCTCCCTAGCTCTCCCTTTTAATAACACTAAAATTGATTCACTGGATTGAGGGAGTGATACAACAAACTCTGCAGGATCCTAGTCACTAGGCTCATGAAGTCATTTGTCTCTCCAATAATGGCTGGTATTGGCATTAGGGGTTTTGTTTAGAGGAACTCCAGGTCCAGGGAAGACAGTAACTACCACCTGTGTGTAGCCCACAGACTGACTGAAGCCCATTAGGCCATCATAAAAATTCCCTGAAGAGTACAGAATTGCTGACTAATCAAAAGAAGGCCACGTGTATCACTGGCCAACCAAGAGATGGGGCACCAGCTGAATATACACAACTCAGCCCCAACTTCAATCTCTATGAATCTTCATCCTTAACCCTTAGGGAAACCTGGACATTAAGCAATAGCTGGCAGGCTCCTTGCTCTGCATTTTGCAAATGGAGACCTATTTTCTTCCACCAACCTGATGTCACTAGTTGGCTTTCTGTAATCAAGCAAGCAGACCCAGGCTTGGGGGTTCTGTAGCAACTTCTCCAACTGGTTTAGGGGATTGTTCTGCAGCAGTGTCTTTAAATATCTAAAGCACTGTCAGGAAAACCAGGAATTCGACTTGTTCTATATAACCCAAGATGAGACAGTGAGTAGAAGTTGTAGCAAAATCATTTGTTCATTATATATATGGAAAACCTTTCCAATTTGCAGAACTGCCCAAAGATAGAGCCAACTGTTCATGGGAAGGAATGAGGGTCACATCTTCACAAAACATCAAGCATGGCCACATGGTCAAACAGCCAGGAGAACTTTAGAAATATGTCAAGAGGGCCAGTTCAAGTCCCGGCTGCCCCACTTCCAATCCACATCCATGCTAATGTGCCTGAGAATGAAGTGGAAGATGGTCCAAGTAGTTGGGCCCTTGCACTCATGAGGGAGACCTGGAAAAAGTTCCTGGCTCCTGGCTTCAGTCTTCCATCCACTGGTTCATTTTCTAAGTGGCCTCAATGGCCAGGGCTGAGTCAGGCTGAAGCCAGGGGCCAGGAGCTTCATCGGGTCCTCCCATGTGGTTGACAGGGCCCAAGTACTTGGGCCATCCTCTGCTGCTTTGCCCAGGCCATTAGGAGGGAGCTGGATTGGAAGTGGAACTGTTAGGCAGTTGGAAATTGCCCTGTGTGTAAGAGGGGCCTAAGGGAAACAAAGCATCAGCAGAAGCTTGGAAGCAGCCCCGTATTTTACACTGATAATTTCATTATATAATATATAATATAATTTCATTATATAATATATAATATAATTTCATTATACCCTGATAATTTCATATATGGTCTCAGCATTCCCCCCAAGGAAAGCTCCCCAGGAGAATCCACTCTGCTCAGCACCAAATGGGTTTCCTGGCCTGGTGACAATAAAACTTGGAGCAATAAAACCTTCGCAGCTTCCCCCAAGGAAGGCACCCTAAGGGAAGCTCCTCTGTGCCAGGTGGACTACCCAGTCTGGAGTAGTGAAACCTCGGGAGGAATTTCACCTCATTCATGCTCAGCAAACTCTTTGTACTGGAGAAGAAAGGGGAGGGGAAGGAGAAAAGGTAAGAAGAACTGGACCCCATTCCCCTAAAAGCACCTGTCTGAATACAACTGCACACTCAGTTCTCAGCTCTTTCCTGAGCCACCTACCTGGCCTGTCAGGTGTATTCTCTCCATGAAACCTTGTAACCTTGCTTTCCCCAGCCTGAATGACTGGGCAGTCTCTCAGATTCTGTCTGGAGAGGTACCCATCTATTCTGATGGATACCATACCCTGTTAAACCTTGCTACCTGGGGCCAGCGCTGTGGCATAGCAGGTAAAGCCACCGCCTGCAGTGCCGGCATCTCATATGGGCACCGGTTAGAATCCCCTCTGCTCTGCTTCTGATCCAGCTCTCTGCTATGGCCTGGGAGAGCAGTAGAAGATGGCCCAAGTCCTGGGGCCCCTGCACCCGTGTGGGAGACCCAGAAGAAGCTCCTGGCTCCTGGCTTGGAATCGGTGCAGTTCCAGCTATTGCAGCCAACTGGGGAGTGAACCAGTGGATAGAGGACCCCTCTCTCTCTCTCTCTCCCTCTCTCTCTGCTTCTCCTCTCTCTGTGTAAAACTCTGACTTTCAAATAAATAAATAAATATTTATTTAAAAAAAAAAAAACTTGCTACCTTCCTTACCATTTTCTCTGTCTCATGTCTGAATTCTTTCTTGTGCAAAGACAGGAACCTATTCCACTCATCTCCACTAACAGAGCAGCCTGGACAAAAACTGGCACCTGTATGGGATGCCCGTGTCACAAGCAGTGATCTAACCTGCTACACCACAACACCTTCCCCTGCTTCAGATATTAGTTATAACAGGGGTGAACATTTTTATGAAGCTTCTTATTATGAGCAGGATATCATGCATCAGAACCAATTATCTTTGCAGGTGTAATGACTGGGAACACATTAAATCAATGTGGGCTAACTGTAGTACATGTTAGAAATTTGATGAAAAGCTAGGATGATTTGGCTTGGGATAAGAGCCCTAATGAATTCAAGCTGCTACCTCTAATATGCTTTTGATGTAGACTTTATCAGGTCTAGTACCGCTTCCTTAGCTTGGATTTCCTCTGTGAAGATGAACTGATTAAGCTAAAAGAGTGACACAAGGGTAAAACCAGAGTTGAAACCCTGGGTCATAAAGAATAGATTCACTCCAAGGCTGGTGCTGTGGCCCTGGCCTGAAGCACCGGCATTCCATATGGGCACCGGTTCTAGTCCCGGCTGCTTCTCTTCCGATCCAGCTCTCTGCTATGGCCTGGGAAAGCAGTAGAAGATGGCCCAAGCCCTTGGGCCCCTGCACCCACATGGGAGACCTGGAAGAAGCTCCTGGCTCCAGATCGGCCTAGCTCCAGCCGTGCGGCCATTTGGGGAGTGAACCACCCGACTGAAGACTTTCTCTCTGTCTCTCCCTCTCACTGTCTGTCTGTAACTCTACCCCTCAAATAAACAAATAAAATCAGAAAGAAAGAAAGAAAGAAAGAAAGAAAGAAAGAAAGAAAGAAAGAAAGAAAGAAAGAAAGAAAGAAAGAAAGATTTCAAAGCTACCCTCAGTTCAGAGAGCTTTGCAGGATCTCACAGGTGATGATCAAAGTAATAAACAATTTACCCATAGATAGACTGGAACCCACCTTTGTCATTCCAAAAGAAATGCATTGACCACCCCCAACACTGACCCATCAAAAGAAGACCACATGCATTGTGGGCCAACCAGAGGCTCACAAATGAGCTGATCACATCACTCAATTCCCACTTCAAACTCTAAGATTCACTGCCTCTACTCACTAGGGAGCCTGAGAATTTTGTAACAGCTACTTGGCCCCTTGCTCTGTGCTTCGCAATAAACACCTCCTTTTGTTCCACCAACCCAGTGTCAGTGATTGGCTTGCTGCACACTGGGCAAGCAGATCCAGTTTTGGGGGTTGTATAGCAGTTCCTCCAAGCAGTTTTGGGGGTGCCCTATAACACTAGTAGGCAGAAAACAGGTGTTTATTAAGGAAGTACAATCAAGAGTGTGTTTCTTTGTGTTAACTGCAGATCAGCTAGCAAGAAATTCAGAAGATAGTGAGCTTAGCATTACAAATAGTGCACTTTCTCTGAGGTGGGGACTGTACTACTGGAGTGTTACATGACCCAAAATACTAATGCCATCAACATCCAACCAGGGGTACTCAACAGGAGATGCAGTTAAGAGGGTTTCATGGGTTTGACCAAGAAATAAAATTCAGGGGCCAATGCTGGGGTATAGCTGGTTAAGTTGCTGCCTGCAATGCCAGTATTCCATATGGGTGCCAGTTCTCGAACTGGCTGCTCCACTTCTGATCCAGCTTCCTGCTAATGTGCCTGGGAAAGCAGGGGAGGATGGCCCAAGTGCTTTGGCCCCTGCACTCACATGGGAGACCCCGAAGAAGCTCCAGACTGCTGACTTCAGCCTGGCCCAGCTCCAGCTGCTGTGGCCATTTCGGGAGTGAACCAGCAGATGGAAGATCTCTCTCCTTTCTCTCTGTCTCTAAGTCTGCCTTTCAAATAAATAAATCCATCTTTTAAAAAAAGAAATTCAATTCAGTAGTGCATTCTCTTAACCAGAGTCAGAGAGACAAGCTCTGACACGCATAATTAATTGAAATACAAATTGATACTATCTCTTTGAAGAAAATTTGGTGATATCTTTTAATTAAAATACATAAAAAGATATATCCTTTAATTAAAGTTAATAGAAACCATGATCCTGCAATTCTACTTTAAGAAGTTTATCCTACAAGTATACTCAGGTATGTGCATAAAGATATAGGAATGAAGATATTCATGGCACATAATTTAAAACAGTAACAATTTACAAATAATCTAACAATCCATCAATGGCTCTGGCAGAGGTCATCTCTCCAGGAAATGATTTCCAAACCTTCACACTGGGCTTAGTGCCTCTCCTCTTGCTATCTGGTCAGAAGACAGGGACACAGAACGAGCCAGAAGAACTATGACACCACACCCTTCCACCCTAGGGTTGCCTCTGAAACTCCTCCCACAGCTGGCCAATCCGAAATTACTACTGTAGCAAAACCGCTGCCCAGAACTGGTGCCAGCTGGAAACATCCAATATGCTGATTGTGTGCCCACAATGCCTATAGCACATTGTAATAGCATTATAGGATTGCCATGGCAAACACTCTTACTCCCATCATGCACCTCCTGCCACAACACTTTCAAGACTTCCTAAAAAGGCCAGAAGATGGGCAGTCACCAAACTTCCAGAAATCTACATGGTTTTCTGGAAAGTACTCCCTCCTTGTGCCTCCACATCACACAAAGGGGATGAACCCTCATCTCGTGAGTTGCAATAGAGAAAAGGGAACTCTTAAAAACTACTGGTGGAGCAGAAAGAACGGGCCATCAAAGAAGGAGGTGCCTTTCTCTCAAGGGAGGAGAGAACTTCCACTTTGATTATGGCCTTGTCTAAATAAGGCCGGAGTTTGTGAACTCAAGAGGCTTCCATAGCCTTGGCAGCTCGTGACAAGAGACTCGGGTGATTACTGACGTCATAAATAAGAGTCTCGGGCCGGCGCCGCGGCTCACTAGGCTAATCCTCCGCCTAGCGGCGCTGGCACACCGGGTTCTAGTCCCGGTTGGGGCACCGGATTCTGTCCCGGTTGCCCCTCTTCCAGGCCAGCCCTCTGCTGTGGCCAGGGAGTGCAGTGGAGGATGGCCCAGGTGCTTGGGCCCTGCACCCCATGGGAGACCAGGAAAAGCACCTGGCTCCTGGCTCCTGCCATCGGATCAGCGCGGTGCACCGGCCGCAGCGCGCCAGCCGCGGCGGCCATTGGAGGGTGAACCAACGGCAAAGGAAGACCTTTCTCTCTGTCTCTCTCTCTCACTGTCCACTCTGCCTGTCAAAAAAATAAAAATAAAAAAAAAATTAAAAAAAAATAAATAAATAAATAAGAGTCTCAATTGTTAAATCAACACCGGGAGTCACTGTGCACCTACTCCCCATGTAGCATCTCTGACTTTAATGTGTTGTACTATGCGAATTAATGGTAAAACTAGTACTCAAACAGTACTTTGTGTATCTGTAAACTGTTGAAATCTTTACTTAGTATATACTAAGTTAATCTTCTGTATATAAAGATAATTGGAAATGAATCTTTTTAAATTATTTATTGATGATATTCACATCTTTTTTTTATTTGACAGGTAGAATTACAGAGACAGAGAGAGAGAGAGAGGTCTTCCCTCCGTTGGTTCACTCCCCAAATGGCCGCAATGGATGGAGCTGCACTGATCCGAAGCCAGGAGCCAGGTGCTTCCTCCTGGTCTCCCATGCAGGTGTGGGGGCCCAAGCACCTGGGCCAACCTCCACTGCCCTTTTCTGGGCCACCCTCCACTGCCCTCCTGGGCCACAGCAGTGAGCTGGACTGGAAGAGGAGCAATTGGGACCAGAACCAGTGCCCATATGGGATGTTGTCACCACAGGCAGATTAGCCTAGTGTGCCACAGCGCTGGTCCTGAAAATGAATCTTGATGAAGAATGGAGTGGGAGAAGGAGTGGGAGATGGGATGGTTGTGGGTGGGAGGGAGGTTATAACAGGGAAAAGCCACTATAATCCAAAAGTTGTACTTTAGAAATTTATATTTATTAGATAAAATTAAAAAAATACTGGTGGAAATGTAAATTAGAAAAACTGCAGTAAATGGTATGGAGATTCCTTAGAAAACTAAAACTAGAACTTGCGTATGATCCAGCAATCCCAGTAGACATGTATCAGAGAGATACCTGCTCCACCATGTTTGTTGCAGTGCATCACAATATATATATATATATATATATATATTCAAGCAAGATGTCCATTAATGGGTGAATAGATAAGGAAAATGTGAGATACACACACACACACATATATATATACACACACATACACACACAATGGAATACTATTCAGCCACAAAGAATGAAATCCCAGCATTTGCAGCAAAATGGATAGAACCAGAAGACATCACATTAAAGAAATAAGCCAAACACAGAAGGACAAATACTGCATGTTCTCCCTGATATGTAGAAGTTAAAAAAACTCCATCTGAACACAGAATGGTGAATATTAGGGGCTAGGATGGGTAGGGGAGTTAGAAGGATTTTTGATAATGGGCACCAAAGTGAGTCAGATCAAAGGAATAAGTTCCTAATGTTACACAGCATAGTGGGGTGACTGTGCGTCAGAACAACGCAGTACATAGTTTATGAACAAACAGAAGCTCCAAACTTCCAATCATAGTCAAGTTGAAGAATCAAATGTTGATTAATCTGATTTCATCAGTACTCATGTACTAAAATGCCCTGTAGTCCATAAACACATATAATTATTGTCAATAAAAATTTTAAGAAAAGTGTGTCTGTTTTAATCATGACTGAGAAACTCCATTGCAGACTAAGAACAGATGAGAAAAAAGTATGTTTAATGAAGGTTCTCCTTGCTTCAACTTTCTATCGAGCCAGTCCTTGAACCAGAGCCATCAATACACAGTCAAACATGCCTGGGTTATTAGTCACAGTTCTGAAACTGAACCCCTATAATGTAAAACCAGGACACAGCCTCTCATTTGTCTGCTGTAGCCCAAGGTGTCCTTGCTTGCTCTTTATCAAAAAGAATTTGCTGACTTAAGGGAGTGATCCAGCTGGCCTTACAAGGTTCTAATCACTGGACTCAAGGAGTCATTTGCTTCTCCAATAGATAAGAACCTTGATGGTCACTGTTTTCATGGGTGATTTGTGTAGGGGAATTCCAGGTCCCAGCAGAATGTAGCTGCCAACTTCACGTAACCTCCAAACCAACTGGAGCCCACCTGGCCATCATAAATTCCCTAAAGAGCACAGTATCACTGGCCAATCAAAGGAAGGTCATGAGCACCACTGACCAACCAGGAACTTGGACATGAGCTGATTACGCACCTCTCAGTCCCAATTTCCATCCATAAGAACCTTCACCCCTAACTCCTCAGGAAGCCCAGGAATTAAGCAATAGCTGCCCTGCTCCTTGCTCTGTGTTTTGCTATAAATACCTACTTTCTTTGAGCTGCTCCTCTTCCCATCCAGCTCTCTGCTATGGCTTGGGAAAGCAGTAGAAGATGGCCTGAGTCCTTGGGCTCCTGCACCCACGTGGGAGACCTGGGGGAAGCTCCTGGCTCCTGGCTTTGGATCGCAGCTTCGGCAGTTGCAGCCATCTGGGGTGTGAACCAGCAGATGGAAGACCGCTCTCTCTGTCTCTACCTCTCTCTAACTATGTCTTTCAAATAAATAAAATAAATCTTTTGGCTGGCGCCGCAGCTCTATAGGCTAATCCTCCACCTAGTGGTGCCGGCACACCGGGTTCTAGTCTCGGTCGGGGCGCCGGATTCTTTCCCGGTTGCCTCTCTTCCAGGCCAGCTCTCTGCTGTGGCCCGGGAAGGCAGTGGAGGATGGCCCAAGTGCTTGGGCCCTGCACCCCATGGGAGACCAGGAAAAGCACCTGGCTCCTGCCTTCGGATCAGCGCGGTGCGCCGGCCGCAGTGCACCAGCCATGGCGGCCATTGGAGGGTGAACCAACGGCAAAAGGAAGACCTTTCTCTCTGTCCCTCTCTCTCACTATCCACTCTGCCTGTCAAAAAATAAATAAATAAATCTTTTTAAAAAAATCTTATTCCTCTGCTAAGCGTTAACCACATCTCATCCCCAAATTATTTCATGCACCAGTGACAGCTTGGACCCCTTAGCTTCCCAGCACTCTGCCTCCTAAGTACCTCAGCATGCCCTATCTTAAACCTCTGGTAATGAAAGGATGTGTTTGTCCATCTAGTATTGTGAGGTTACCTTGTTTCTCTCATTTTGTGAATGAAGATGCTTAGCCTCAGCCCTCTTAAAAAGGTTGAGACAAAAAGTATATGCAAAAGCATGAGTAATGAGTGATGGTGGTGTGATGGAAGAGAGCAGGTAATCCGTGTGGCTGTGGTGTGTGATGGGTGGACCATACATGCTGTGACGGGCAGTCTGGGTTTTACCCTGAAGTTTTGATCCATTCTCTTAGGGAAAAATCTAAGCGTACAACCCAAAGAGTTCTCCTTTTCTGCAGAGTGAAGTCAAGTCAGGAGGCTGAGACGCAATCTTCTCTGATGGAGGGCATCGGGTTTCACACATGATACCTCATATAGACAACAGTAGGTTTAGGGTTTGAGACCTGAGTCTGAGGCACAGAATTGGTCAGAGGAGCAGAGAGAAGCAGCTTCCTCCCCAGGTGCACTCAGCATTTGGCTGCCATCCCTGCTGCTGAAGAATGAGCTCTCTGAGGTTCCTCTAAAGGCAGGCTGGGCCATCTCTTAGGCGAGCTGGGTTAGCTGGTCTTCTGTTTCCCTAAATGCAGCCTAGAACATCACACACAAGTGGGATGATATCACCCTACTGCAGGCTTCTCTGGGAGGTCATTACTAGAATTATAATGGATGATCTTGGTCCTGTCCCCTCAGATGAAAATTGAAGGATTCAAAAATAGTGCAGCCTACAGGACATGCCAGTCAGTTCCCTTCCCTCTACAAAGGAAAGCTGGGTCATGAATGATTCTCATTCTCACCCCCCCACAACCCTAGGTAGCAATACAGGAGCAAAGATGTTGTGGTGGTTCACAAGGTGTGGATGAAAGGGATTCTGCCCCATTCGTTCTCTTTTGAGTGGCTGTTTCACTTTTTGCTCTCTTAAAATGATCAGCTGATTTTTTTAATGACTTAAGACTTTTTGATTACTAGGTCTCTTGGCACTAATACTAATCATTTTCTATCTAGATCAGGAACAGCAGAAACATCAGGGAGAACAAAGTCAAAACGGGAAAGAGCCCGGGCACTGGACTAGAGTGCAGTTGGTCAGGGAAGGGTGCCTGGGAACAGAGTTCTGAGATGTTAGACAAGCCGGAGGTAGAAAGCTGGAAATCAGAGCCTCAAAGACCCCTGTGAACGAGGACCGTGGCACCAGGTTACAGGGACCTGGGCATATCTTCTCAGGGCTAAGCAAGGGTGAACTGAGATCAATTTATTTGACTCTTATTTTCTAATTTTAAATTAGCAACTCCTCCAATGAGACTTATTGGTGCTCTCATGTATGTCCAAATGCCTTTGGAATGCTTACAAATATCCATCCCAAATAGCCAATGGGTGAAAGTTCTTCTTTGTAAGAGTTTCATGTCCTGGTTCTTTCCTACTTTTTAAAAAAATATTTTATTTATTTGTTTGAGAGGTAGAGTTACAGACAGTTAGAGGGAGAGACAGAGAGAAAAGTCTTCTGTCCATTGGTTCACTTCCCAAATGTCTGCAACGGCTGGAGCTGCACCCATCTGAAGCCAGGAGCCAGGTGCTTCTTCCTGGTCTCCCATGTGGGTGCAGGGGCCCAAGGACTTGGACCATCTTCCACTGCTTTCCCAGGCCATAGCAAAGAGCTGGATTGGAAGAGGAACAGCTGGGACTAGAACTGGTGCTCATATGGGATGCTGGCGCTGTAGGCGGAGGATTAACCTGTGCCATGGCATCAGCCCCCCTACTTTCTAATATTCATCTTTACCACTGTTCCCCAAAAACATCCCCCCCTGCACACACATACACACAGAAACACATAGAATTCTCCAAAACGCAGTTATTTGTAGCTCTAAAAACACATTGGAGTCTTTCGTGTCTCCATGCCTTTGTATCCTGGGTTTATTTGCCCTAACAATCTTTTTCCCATCTCTGTTTGGGGAATTCTTGCTCTTCCTTCAACAATTCAATTTCCTCCTCTGAATTTCTATAGTGTTTCACAGAGCACTTATCACACTGCCTTGTATGTGTGCACGGTATAATTTCAGTGACTTTGTAAGAACAACATGGTGAAGAATAATACTAAGAAGAATATGGTGCAGTCTACTACTGTCTTTCTGGTTAATCAATTACTCAGACAATGGGGATGTGACTGAATTTCCATCAGGCAGAATTAAAGGGCGGAGGGGTGTAGTTGTTATTTGCTCCCAGTGAAGAAGGGCATGAGATGAGACCCTCTGAAGACAAATCACCCCACCCCTGCTGAGAACCAATGGCTCCAGCAGGGTGATGGGGGGTCCATGAAAAGGAGATTTTTGGGGAGCACAGTCTGAAATCGCAATCAAAAGGGCCTTTCACTGTTTTTCAGGTACCAGAGAGGGTGCCATGAGGGTGGGGCAGGGGTTTGTGTGCATGGGCGTATCTAGGTGTGTTAGCGTTGGAATGGCTCTTAAGGAAGGAAAAAAAAAAACAAAAAAACTACAAAGCATGAGAATTCAGAAATGTTGATGCTTTGTCTCAATCACTTTCCCCAAAGTGATCTCTGGTTGAATTTCTTGCTAAGGTTGGCACAGCCTGCCTGCTACCTACCAAAAACCCATCAGACTCCAGGGGTTGCATCTGGGTGAACCCACCGGAACTCTGACCCAGGAGTAGGAAGTCCACACAAATACCTTTCCCTCCCTAAAACTAAACAGAACCGAGGACTTTGAGGCTATGAACTCATCACTAACGGGACTGAAAGTCTTTTTAATATTAACAGCTGGTAATAAACCCATGATGAATTACAGTTTGACCTTCGGCTCTCTCAAGGACCTTACCTAGTAAGAGTTGGCCTGTGCTGAAGGAGGCCCTGGCTAGGTGTCGTATGAAGAGCTAACGTCGACTAAATTGACCGCAAGTCCTAAACCGCCAGTCAACCCTAGATTTCCAGTTCCTTACTGAACCTCACCAGGAGAAGGAAGAGATCACCGAGGTTTGTGGTTACAGACCTCTAAGTGAGGTCGGACTCGCCCGCCACACTTCATGGGCCCTTCTTTAAAAACCACAGCAAAAGAAAGGGACGCAACAAGAGAGGGCTTTGAAAGGGCTCGGCTTGCGAGGCGGCAGAGCAGGGGACGGTGGCCGTCAACTCAGATCTCCACAGGAGTGGTCTCTGGGGTTTCGGGGCTCACAGCCAAGGCGGAAGTGGGCGTCTCGCGGGTTCCCCTGAGCCCCGGGAGAGCCTGTGGTTCCTTTAATTCCAGGACCACCCTGCTCAGAAGGCCCTTGAGCAGCCGCATTTCTCGGAGCAGAAGGTCCACGTCGGGTTTCAGGGCCCCGGCCTGGTCCACGGGCGTGGGCGGAGCGCAGGCAGGCGGCCCGGCTGCAGTGGGGACGCCGCCGGCCGGGAACTGCAGCCCCGCCGAGGTGGTGTTCGCCGCGGAGGACGCCGACGGGACCGACCTGGACACCGGGGGCTTTCTAAAGGACAGCGGCTTGTTAGCCGGAGCCAAGGCTGCGGCCTGCAGCGCCGGGGCGGTGCTGGGTGCCAGATCCAGGAGCGAACCTACGAAGGAACGCGGCACAGACGCTGACGCGCGCCTGACATCGCTGCGGTCCCAGGGCGCGGGGATCGGGGAGAGGCGCGGGGCGGGGAGGGGCGGAGGAGAGCGAGGAGGGCGGGAGCCGAGCGGAGGGGAGGGCGAGGCCCCGCGGGGTAGGGGGAGCCGGTGCGGGGCTGCCGGTGGGGCTCGCTCACCCCGCCCCGGGAGCTGCAGCCAGGGGCTACGCTTGCGGACGCTGCGGGAGGCGGTGGCCACCTCGCACCAGTACGACTCAAGCTCGTCGACCTCGGGCTCCGGGACGGTGTACTCGGCGGCCCAGTCGAAGCGGCGCACGGCGCGGCTGTACTTGTAGAAGGCGAACTGCAGCGGCGTGTCGCGCTTCTGCGGGTGCAAGCGCGTCTCGCAGCGCAGCACCACGGCGTCGCGGGCCGCGCCGCGCGCCTCCTGCGGGCTGGCCATGCTCAGCACCGGCGCCTGGAACAGCTCTGCGGAGAGGGCGGCGCAGGGGCGGAGGATGCTTGTGGGATCCCCTCGGGGACCCGGGTGCGGCGGAGGAGGAAGCCAGACCTGCCGGCCGCCGCGCGAGCCCTCGCTCCTAACCCCTTTCCCGCAAAGGCTCCCCACCGACCAGGAGCCCGAGACGGGGCGGGAGGAGACAGTGTGTGCCCGTGGAGGGAAGGAGGCATGCTTTCTGAAACGTGGGCCGGGAGTCCCGAGTCTGCGGGGAACCTGGAAAGGGAGCAGGGAGGAGGGACCATATCCCGACCAATCCCCGCCCCCCACTCCCGCAGCTCGGGGTCTGCAGCCTAGAAGGGGGGTCGCTGCACCTGCCTCTGTGGACCAACGCTCGGGAGCCGGTTTCTCGTCCCTACTCGCTGCAAACCACCCACTTCCCATCCCCCCGCAGCCGCCCTTCTGGCTAGGACCCGGCCAGAGTTGCGCTTTCTAGCCTGGGCAGGGACCCCAGACGCTAATCAGGTCGCAGGTCCAGCGGAAGAGAAAACTTCTGTGGTTCGACTGAGAGAGCCAAGGAGGCAGCTACTTGAACCCCCACCTCTCGTTTCCTCGCCTGGTTCCTGGCCCGGAATTTCCCACTATTCGTTTGCTTCACCCGCCGGACCCCCGGTGTGCCCCACCTTGCACGGTCACAGCCACCTTGGCGGAGAACATGGGCGCGCTCTCCACTGGGATGCGCATGGTGCCGGAGCACTGGTAGCGGCCGCTGTCGCTGGCGCGCGCCTGCAACACTGTGTAGTTGGTGCTGGAGTGGAAGTAGCGCACGGCCTGGCCGTCGTGGTAGTAGTGAAGCTTGTAGATGACCTTGTCGTACCAGCCACGGCAACGTATCACCAGCGGCTCGCCCTCGAAGACCGCGGTGTAGGGCACTTGCAGGATAAGCCAGTCTGCAACAGGCAGCGCAGGCGCGCTAGACCCCAAGCCGAAAGGTCAGCCCTGGAGCCCTCGCATTCTCAGCCTCCCTCCCCTCCCTCACTCCTCATCCTGGAGCAGCTCCTCCTCCCCTCCCCACTCCCTCCCTCCTCTTTCCCCCAGGCCAGAACGGGACACACCTTCCCTGGTGGTTGGCACCTGTAGTGCAGGATGCATTAGGAAGTGAATGAGGGGAAAGGAGGAAGCTCCTTTGGGAGGCAAAGATGCTCAAGACTCCTACCCGTCAGTCAAGTTGAAAACTTATTCCCCACCTTCCACTCCCGATGCAGACCAAGTTCTAGCCACAGTGAACTGCTGAGGAGGGCCTGGTCTGAACCCAGGGCCTTAGTAGCTGTTTTCTCAGCCAAGAAAACACTCCCTTACCTGTTTAGGTTGAGGTCTACTTGTCCTGCGTGTGAAGGCTTAGACGTTTCCCTTGCAGAAAACCTCCCAGACACCCAGCATAGCCGTAGGCATCTCCCACAGCACCCAGAATTCACCAGATCACCACCTACCTAGCCCTGGCACGTGCTGGATGCCATATTAGGTGTTGAACCTTGTGGAAAAATTCCACAGTGGCACAGCCTGCGTGCTACCAGCAGCCTGCAGGCAGTAACCTCTGTCTCGCTTATTGAGCACACTATTGCTCCAGCAAGAAATCTCAGGCTGGTGGAGTGGGCACTACTCACCTGAACACTGAGTGGTAGCCTTGAAAGTCTACTTCCAAATTGTGGCTTACCAGCCTAATATTTTTTTTTTTTTTTTGACAGGCAGAGTGGACAGTGAGAGAGAGAGACAGAGAGAAAGGTCTTCCTTTTTGCTGTTGGTTCACCCTCCAATGGCCACCGCAGCTGGCGTGCTGCAGCCGGCACATTGCACTGATCCGAAGCCAGGAGCCAGGTGCTTCTCCTGGTCTCCCATGCAGGTGCAAGGCCTAAGTACTTGGGCCATCCTCCACTGCACTCCCGGGCCACAGCAGAGAGCTGGCCTGGAAGAGGAGCAACCGGGACAGAATCTGGTGCCCCGACCAGGACTAGAACCCGGTGTGCCAGCGCCGCAAGCAGAGGATTAGCCTATTGAGCCGTGGCGCTGGCCACCAGCCTAATATTCATTTGCTATTCCTTAAGAGTAGCTGATCCTGCACCCTCGTGCACGAATTGTTATTTCTCTATCCTGCTTTTAAACCCTTCAAGCATTTCCAGAGGCAGTTTCTCTGTCCACATGTGTGTGTGCTCTGGCAATACAATCTTTGATGAAGTGCTCTGTCCAGTTGCTGCCATTTTCCTTTTGCGGCATGTCATGATTCAGTTTTCATACGACAGTCAAAGACAGAGTTACTATTATTGGCCCTGCTTTACTGCAGGGGACACTGAGACACATCAAGGTGTGTGTCACGCTGTCAACGTCGCGCTGTCCATCAGGAGTAATTCCTGCAGCTGTGCTCAGCCTGCCCAGGGACACTCACTGTTCTTGCTTCGCCCAGCCCTCTCCTTTCCACTGCTATCCCAGCGTTCACTGTCTGGTATTCCCAGCCTGCAGTCTCTGCTCTTCTGAGCTGCTCTCAGAAACAACCAGAAATGTTTGTTGTCCCCACCCTGTGGCGGGAGCTTTAAGAGGGACGTTCAGGGCCAGGCAAGCTTTACTGCATCTCTCACAAGTGCCATGCAGGTGGCCTACTCTAGAGAGTCAACAGAGGCCCACCGTGACCCTCATTTCCTGCCCCCTGGGGGTGACCCAGCATCCACTGCTACGGGTGGGACAGCTGTCCCCCTCCCCTGCGCAGATCACTCACCATTGGATACAGAGAGATGGATGGGGTCACTGACAGGTGCTCCCCGTGTTTGGCATCGATACACGCCTGGTGTCTGGACCTCAATGCTCTTCTTGTGGGAGGGCAGGAGCAGGTGACCCAGGTACCAGAGAGTGCTGATGGGCCGGAGCTCCAGGAGCAGGGGGTGGTAGCCATCACACCGCAAGGTTACCCGCTCCCCCTTGAAGATTGTAGTCCAAGGTGGGTGTAGAGACAATATAGGCTTCTCTAGAGTGGCTGGGGTATGTGGGAAAGGGGGGCAGTATGGAAAAGAGAATCAAGGTGAGGTGCCCAAAGATGCTGCCTGAGGTTGGGAGATCTTAGAAAACCCTGGCTTCCAGGACCCAGCCTGTGTACCAACTCATTCCTGCAGCACAGGAGACCATGGCACTGTTCAGCACAAGTGCATCAGCCAGCACCTGTTTCTAAGTGACTAAGCACTCTTAGTCACAGGGACTAAGGGCAGGTGGGAAGAGACTATCCCAGAACAGTCCAGATTGGGGAAGGGAGGGTCTATCTAATTAGGTCACTTAGAGGGGCTGGAGAAGTTGTAGGAAATTGGGATGCAGGAGGTGTAAGACTCACCAGCTTGCCCATTGCTTGGAACTGGGAAACAAGGAAGAAAGAAGGGAGGAAGAAGGATGTTGGAGATGAGAGCAAAGAAGGGGACTCTTGGGCATGGCAAACACTGAATGACTCAAAGCCTGCTTTCGGCCCCTCTTCCCACACCCACCCCTCCCCCCCCCATACCAGTAGATAATGAGCCATTTGGTACCTGAAGATTGAAGAGCCACCTCACACTCTGCCCTACCCCATGCCCTTACTGCCAGAGCCCTCTGTCGCTGAACCTCATTGAGGACTCACCCAGGAGCAGGAGGGCTGTCAGCGCCCACATGGTGGATCCGCCTGCAGCAGCTGCAGAAGGGAGGTGATGCACTGCCATGGGATGGGGAGAGAGAGAAAGAAGTGGCCAAGGGCTGACCACGGGGGACTAGGAGACTTTGCTGCCTCTCCACCCATTTCTAGTTCCTGAAGACAGTGGGCTGGAGAGAATGGAATTTGGGCGGGGTATGTGGCAACCCCCAGACATCCCATGTTCACCATCTGCTACCTCAAAAGCCACACCACAGCTCCGGCCAGCCCTATAGACTCCTGTAGAGAGGACCTACGGAGCTTGTGCCTGTGGAAGCACAAAAGAGCCACCTAGAGGGGTGGCGCAGTGGGTTAATGCCCTGGCCTGAAGCTCCAGCATCCCATATGGGCGCCAGTTCTAGTCCCGGCTGCTCCACTTCCCGTCCAGCTCTCTGCTATGGCCTGGGAAAGCCATGGAAGATGACCCATATCCTTGGGCCCCTGCACCTGCCCAGAAGAAGCTTCTGGTTCTTGGTGCAGCTCCAGCCATGGTGGCCAATTGAACCATTGGATGGAAGACCTCTCTCTCTCTCTCTCTCTCTCCCTCTCTCTGTGTAACTCTGACTTTCAAATAAAATATTTAAAAAAAGGCTCCAGCGGCTGACCCTGACCATTCCATTCCTTGCCCACCTTCCAGCCAACCAAAAAAGACACATCCTTGTGTCCTCCAGGTCCACCCAAGACCTTTTTTTACTGCTCACTCCTTGGTGGCACACATCTGTGGTGGCCAGTGATCTTAGGTTCCCTGCATCCCTCAGGTGAATAGACAGAAAGGCCTGACTCACCAACCACCCTGCCGCCCGGTTCCCCAGTAAAGGGTACAGTTGTAATGTGTTCCCTTCTTGCTCTCTTCCTGAAACCCTAAAACTCTCAGAAATTAGAAAATTCTTCTTTCCTACCCTCCCTGATGATGTCACCTTGCAGTACCGCCACTCACTGGTTCCTTCCTCTTGTCCCTGCAAACCCTCCCCACCGCACCCCCATTCCAGAACCCCCCACCTGCTGCAGAGAAGTCGCTGCATCAGCCCCACGGATGCTTCTCAGATCTGACCTTCCGGCTCTACTTCTTGTGCTCTGAGTCATGTGATCATACCTGAGCAATGGGGAGCCTGACTTTTCATGTAAATACTTAATGCATTTTCCAACCTGCTAGTATGTCTCCTTGGACTCTATCCTTGCCTCACCCGTGGCCGACTAGAACCAGGGCAGCTCCTTCCCTTGGAGCTAGGGCAGGAAAGCGATCAATTGTCAGACTGTCTGCTCTCATCAAGATGCTATCTTCCCCTGTTGCTGATGCCCAGTGTTCCACTCAGAGAAGCCCCTCATGTTTTAGGTTAACCCACTAGTCTCTGCTAAAAAGGCAAATGCCTCTTAGGGACGTGGGCTTTGTCATTTACATGAAGCTGGCCACGTTTAACAATGCTTTGAGAGCAGGTTTTTATAAGAGGTAGAGTCATACAGGTCTGAGAAGTAGGGAGATAGTTGCTCCTGTGCCCTGGAGTGGGGTGGGGTGGGGTAGGGGAGAAGAGCAGAGATGATCACCCACCAGCTTTAGGGGTGCCTGAGCTGTGTGACATTGTGCTTCATCTCAGGGCCAGTGTCCAGCTCCCCATATGGTCCACAGCATCCCGGATGTCTCACATCTGTACCTGACTGAAACCTGAATGCAACACAGTTGTCAGCTAGCCTCTTAGTCTACACAAGCTATTTTAGCCGCTCATCACCTAGAACATAGATCTTAGCTCCTTTACCGGATTCTGGGGGAAAAAAAAAATCTGACTCCATCAACAATTCATGAGCTGTGCAGTCTTCCCTGGAAATCTCTGGAGCCATTGGTAGGTTCCTATCAGACTGTGCTCAGAATCTGACGGCAAAGATCTCCCACCCAACACTTCTTTTTTTTTGGGGGGGGATATTTATTTATTTATTTATTTAAGAGGTAGAGTTACAGACAGTGAGAGGGAGAGACAGAGAGAAAGGTCTTCCATCCGCTGGTTCACTCCCCAAATGGCCACAATGGCTGGAGCTGTGCCAATCCAAAGCCAGGAACCAGATGCTTCTTCCCAATCTCCCACTTGGGTGCAGGGGCCCAAACACTTGGCCCATCCTCTACTGCTTTCCCAGGCCACAGCAGAGAACTGATTGGAAGAGGGGCAGCTGGGACTAGAACCTGTGCCCATACGGGATGCCAGTGCCGCAGGCGAAGGATTAACCTACTGTGCCATGGTGCCGACCCCCCAACACTTCTTTATTCTAGGCTCTCCTCTGCTCTCCCCAGATGGAATCCTTTCTTCCCTAGGACATTTCGGCCTTCCCCCACCCCCACCACCAAATTTCTAATTCTTTTACTATTCATAGACCTTTAGCAATTACCGCTTCTTACTTGAGCAATGCTTTGAAGCCTATCACAGCATAACTTCTGGACAAGATATGTCAGCATTTGGTAAGAATTCTGGAGATAAAGTGGCCTCAGTGATGATGGTGATATGGAGAGAATGCTTCTGCTGCTGTCCATGACACCGCCGTACTCAGAGCGGGTGTGGTAGACCCCGTGCCATGTACTTCTCAGATATTGCTTCATTAGAGGAAGGATTATTATGATCTCCACTTTACATACGAGGAGACCGAGGTGATAGAACTGCAAATGGAAAAGAAGTCGGTCTCACTCCTGTCTCGCTCTGTCTATCAGGGGTTCCAGATGCTGCTCATGGAACACCATCCTTGTGAGTCTTTCCCAGTCTTTTTTTTTTTTTTTTAAGATTTATTTATTTATTTGAATGTCAGAGTTACACAGAGAGAGGAGAGGCAGAGAGAGAGAGAGAGAGAGAGAGAGAGAGAGAGGTCTTCCATCCGATGGTTCACTCGCCAGTTGGCGGCAACAGCCAGAGCTGTGCCCATCCGAAGCCAGGAGTCAGGAGCTCCTTCCAGGTCTCCCATGTGGGTACAGGGGCCCAAGGACTTGGGTCATCTTCTACTCCTTTCCCAGGCCATAGCAAAGAGCTGGATCGGAAGTGGAGCAGCTGAGTCTCCAATTGGCGCCCATATGGGATGCTGGCACTTCAGGCCAGGGCATTAACCCACTGCACCACACCGCCTGCCCCCCAGTCTTTTCATAAATGCTTTTTTAGCCTTCAGTCACACTGCCATTCTGCTCCCCTCCCCATAAGCACCCACTATAAGATGTTTACTGTGTGTTCATACCTATCTATCTATCATGCATATCTTTATCCTTGAGAAAAAATTAGTATTGTTAATTTACGCAAATGGCATTCTGAGAGAGTATTTTCTCTTTTACTTTTTTTATTATTATTTTATTTTTGAAAGGCAGAGTTACAGAGAGAGAGGTAGAGACAGAGAGAGAGGTCTTTCATCTGCTGGTTTACTCCCTAGATGGCTGCAACAGCCAGAGCTGGGCTGATCTGAAGCCAGGAAACAGGAACTTCCTCTGGGTCTCCCACACGGGTGCAGGGACCCAAGCAATTAGATCATCTTGCACTGTTTGCCCAGGCCATAGCAGAGAGCTGGATCAGAAGTGGAGCAGTTGGGACTTGAACTGGTGTCCATATGGGATTCCAGCACTGCAGGTGGCGTCTTTACCCACTGCCCCACAATGCTGGCCCATTAGTAATTTTTTAAGATATATTTATTTATTTAAAAGAGTTACAGAGAGAGAGGAATTGGTCTTCCATCTGTTGGTTCATTCCAGCTGCAACAGCTGGAGATGGCTGGACTGGTCTGAAGCCAGGACAGCAGCTTCTTCTGGGTCTCACGTAGATACAGGGGCCCAAACATTTGGACCATCTTCTGCTGCTCTCCGAGGCTCATTAGCAGGGAGCTGGCTCAGAAGTGGAGCAGCTGGGATTGAACTGGTACACCACATTACAGACCCCTTATTCCTATTCTTGTATGCTGCTGCACTGTAGCTATGAATATTCATTTCCACTGTTATACAGCATTTTATTCTGTAAAAATTGCACAATTTACCCATTTTTTGTTGATGGACATCTGAATTGACTCTAAATCTCTGCTTTTACAAACAATGCTACTATGAACATTATTATACCTGTCTTCTGGTACATATATGGTCAAGCTTCTCTTGGTTATGTACACCTAAGCATGGAATTCTGGGTTATGGGGTGTATGAGCATATCCTTTCAAAATAAAGGATACATGTGATATAAAAAGAAATATACATTTTCTCTCTTCTTCTAGTTCCTGGCACAGAGTTCCTAAAACCTTGGAACCTAAAACCTCCTTCCTGACAGATTGGGGTAAGAGGAACATCTTTTCTTGTCTATAAAAAGTCTCTTCGAGCCAGCACTGTGGCATAGCGGGTAAAGCCGCTGCCTGCAGTTTTGGCATCCCCTATGGACGCCAGCTCAACTCCCGGCTGCTCCTCTTCCAGTCCAGCTCTCTGCTATGGCCTGGGAAAGCAGTGGAGGATGGCCCAAGTGCTCTGGCCCCTGCACCCACATGGGAGACCAGGAAGCTCCTGGTTCCTGGCTTCGGATTGGTGCAGCTCCTGTTGTTATAGTCATCTGCAGAGCCAAACAGTGGGTGGAAGATCTCTCTGTCTCTGCCCCTGCTTCTCTGTAGTTCTGCCTCTCAAATAAATAAAGAAATCTTTTTAAATTTTTTTTTAAAAATAATTTAAAAAATCTTCAACCTGAGCTGAGTTTACACTAATGCCATGACTCCTGGGAGGCTGGGGGCTGGGTCAACTCCACCCCCTCATTTTGGGGAAGAGAAAGGGGCTGAAGGTTGAATTAATCACCAATGGCCAACGATTTCACCAATCTGTACATACGTAGTGGACTGGAGCACTTGCAGGTGAGTGAGAGTGTGGAGAGACTGGGAGGGTGGCATGCCCAGAGACAGTGTGGAAGCTCCGCGCATCTCCCTGCATGGTCAGTCCTATACCTGTTTCTACTGGCTAAAGGAAACCAGCTGTTTTCCTGTGTTCTGTGAGCCATTTTGGCAAAT